CTTAGAGGCAAGCCTGGTGACCTGAGTTTGCTCCTCAGGTTCAAAAGGTAGAAAAAATACTGACTCAAGCAGGGTTATCCTCGAGCTCCACCCAGGTGCCATGACATGTGCCACCCTCCCCAAAGAAAAGCCATTTGTTAGCTGAAGGTGTGAGTGCTAGGGCCTGTGTGATGCAGTCCTGGTTCTGGGGCCTGAAATATAGAAGCCTGAGGAGAGGGTGCAGTGTGGATGTGGTTCCCTGGTCTCCTGACTCGGGAAGCCCCAAATCACAGGCAGGAGGATAGGGGCCTGAGCAGCTCTCCTTTCTGAGCTCCCGACATCTGCTGACACAATGCTGCGTGGTCCTCTGGCTAGCAGCAATGTCTCAGGGCAGACAGCCGTGCCACCTCCGCCTGGGGCTTAACCGTGGCAGCCTGGCTCCCCTCACGTGGTCCATCCTACCCAGTGTCACACTGCTCAGGTAATTTCCCGGTATTAGTTTTATGATTTTATTTTTTGAGGAAACGTCTCACTATGTAGCTCTGGCTGGCCTGCACTCACTCTGTAGACCAGGCTGGCCTTGAACTCATAGAGCTCCACCTGCCTCTGCCTCCCGAGTGCTGGGATTAAAGGTGTGCGACACCAGGCCCAGCTTCTAGACCCAGTTTTGATGACTTTAGGTTTCCTTCCCACTAAATCTCCTTTGGGACCTGGCTCTTTCCACCTCAAGCCACGGTGGATTCAAGGCAGGCTGTATTTCAGAAAGGTTCCCACAGAGGCTGGGAACTAGAGAAGAGCAAGGTATGCTTCCAAACGACAGCAAGAACTCAGAGGCAGGGGTGAGGAATACCAAAAAGGACTAGGGGCATGGCTCAGGGGTGGAGCCCCTGCCTGGCATGCAGGGGACCCTGTGTTCCATCAGCACCACTGCAAAGATTTAAAAAAAGAAAGAAAAAAACCAAACAAACCACGACAAGGTTGAAAAGTCACTGAAAATGGGCTGCCATCCACCCCACTACTGCGCAGGTGGCTTTTCTTCTGGGTGTGGGTGGGGAAAAGGTAAATGAAGTTAGACTTATTTACATTCTGAAGTGCTCTATGAACACACTTTAGAGAACTTACTTACTTTGATTTCCTTTTCGGCTGGAGTGCTGGGATGAACCCAGGGCCCTGATCATGCTCTGCAGGCTCGTACCACTGATCGCACCTGCAGTCGGGGGAACTCATTTTGAAAGCAAGCAAATGTCACCGAGGCTCAATAATTGTCTAGAATATTCCTCTGGGAACCTGTGCTGGACAGTTTTTTTGTTTGTTTGTTTTTTGTTTTGTTTTCAGACAGTTTCTCTGTGCAACTCTGAAGCCTGTCCTGGAATTCAGTCTGTAGACCAGGCTGGCCTCGAACTCACAAAGATCCATCTGCCTCTGCCTCCCGAGTGCTGGGAGTGCTGCCACCACCCAGCTTGTACTGGATAGTTTAGTTTTATGTCAACTTGACACAAGAGTTGGAGTCATCTGAGAGGAGGGAGCCTCAATTGAGAAAATGCCTTCCTAAGTTTTGACTGTAGGCAGGCCTATGGGGCTTTTCTTTTCTTTTTTTTTCCCTTTGGTTTTTTGAAACAGAGTTCTCTGTGAAACAGTTCTGGCTGTCCTGTAACTCACTCTGTAGACCAGGCTGGCCTCGAACTCACAGAGATTCACCTGCCTCTGCCTCCCGAGTGCTGGGATCAAAGGCGTGTGCCACCACCACCCGGCTCATTTTCTTAATTAGTGATCAATGAGGGAGGGCCCAGCCTATTGTGGGTAGTGCCATCCCTGGGCTGGTGGTCCTGGGTTCTACAAGAAAGCAGGCTGAGCAAGTTAGGGGAAGCAAGCCAGTAAGCAGCATCCCTCCATGGCTTCTGCATCAGCTCCTGCCTCCAGGTTCCTGCCCTCTGTGAGTTGCTGTCCTGACTTCCTTCAGTGATGAACAGTGACGTGGAAGTGTGAGCCAAATAAACCCTTTCCTCCCCAACTTGCTTTGGTCACGGAGTTTCATTGCAGCGACAGAACCCCGAAGACGGAGCCCTCCACTAGCACGGCCTGGAGGCCCCCAGAGGGGCCTGCTGTCCCCTTCCTCAGCACAGCTGTGCCAGTGTAGGGCACTCTAATTCTAGGAGCCAGGAGTGGCACGCACTGCTGCCCCACCCTGATCAGGTGCGAAAGGGCTGGTGGTGATGGCTAAAAACAGAAAAAAGAAAGCTAAGAGAAAGAAGCCCTTGCCACTCTACTTTCATTTCCCTCCGGATTTATTTATACCCAGTGTTGTTCTTGAAAACTAGCAAGGTGACCAGAGAGGAAAATCAGTGGGGGGCAGGGGCGGGGCCAGCATAGGCTTTACAAGTGTCTTGAAGTCAAGGAGCCCCAAGGATGGTGTAAACAGTGTACGGGACAGGATTTTCCACAGTCCTAGCCAATTGTGTCCTGGCCTGGTGCCGAGAACAGGAAGTGGGCCTGGCTTTCCTATCCCAGTTGTAGGGGGATGGGGAGGACACACAGGCTTATCTGGGGGTTCCTCAGGAGAAGGGGGGCCTATGCAACTAGAGGGTAGCTGGGCAGAGAGACAGGGAAGGACTAAATAGGGGTGGCAGCTAGCACCTATTCCAGCCTCGAATCCCAGCATCTCAAGTGGAGAGCAGCCCAGGCCCAGGCCCTAGCCCCCAGCCACCTGCATGGCCACAGTCTCTCAATGAACACTTAGAACTAACATTTTCACATGTGTGTGATGTATTCCTGTAGCCCTGTCATTCCTCCCCACTCCCCACAAACCCCTTTTTCATTCCTACTTCCACATTTTTGGTTTGCAGGCTCTCTCTGTGACTGAGCTTAATTAGGGCACGTTAGATGAGCATGGGCAACAGCCAGTGGCCACAGTGAGCAGAGAAAACTTTCTTCTCATCAGCAACCTACAACTACAGGTACCTTGTACACTTGCTCAGGCCTTCTATGGGGCTGACAACGAGCAGGGAACAGTTCCAAGCCTAGAGAGGGGCTCCTCAGAAAGGAGTCCACAGCTTCAGACAGCTCTGATCACCAGCCCTTGTAAGCTGCCGCCCCCGTGTGGCCAAAATGTCCTGAGAGCAGGAGCTGGGTTCCAAGGGCTCATGCTGTCTCTGCTTCTCCAATGCCAGGTGCTGCCTATACAGTACTGGTGCTCCTGAAGCTGCATGCACAGGGCTCCTGAATGGGCCAACTGAAGGTCTCCTGCTAAAAGCCAGGCCTCCCTGTGCCGCTGTGTACGTCTGTCTGTCACTGTGCTGAAAACTTGCGGCATGCCAAGTGTTTTTTGGAAGCAGCATGTCACATTGCATGTTGCAACTGCTGCCAGCCTTTGGCACCTGAGAATTATCGGGATAATACTGGGATACCAGTGAAGAGGGCATGGTGGGGGAGGGCAGGGACCCCATGCTTGGACACTGGCTACCACCTGTGGTTGGCCTCCATCTCCTGGGGTTCCACATCTGAATATTCAACCAACCTCACACTGAAGATAGAAAAACACTGCATCAGCACTGAGCGCACACAGGCAGCTTTCCTTGGGACTACAAATGGAGCTACAGACACAGCACATCCTGGGAGACACTCGAAGCCACCCAGATGTGCAGTCTGTGGTACTGAGTCATGTCACAAGAGGAATGACAGTGAGGATTTGGATGTCCCCTGGGCATCACGCAATACACCTTTATGGATACCAGGGATGCCTCCACCCTCAGAATGGCCTCCTACTGCCTCCTTCAGGTGGCCCAGTAGAAGGATGGATTCTGTTAGGGAAACTGTGCCCCATGAGAAAAGTTTGCAAGGCACACCACACCAGTGGCTCTAAGGACAGAGTTGATGCCCTGCCAGGAGAGGACAGGGCAGAATAGACAAGGGTGCCACCAGGACAGGACAGCAGTGGCTGAGAGAGCACTCCTGTAGCACTACTTTCCTTAACTGTTTTGAGGCAGTGTTTCTCTGTATAGCCCAGGCTGGCCTGGAGCTGGCCATCTTCCTGCCTCAGTCTCCAGGGTTTGCTGCTACAGCTGGCTTGACTCTTTTATTCATTACCAAAGACCACTCAAATTCATGCACTGGTGTGCTGGGCAAGGACCTGTGACTTAGTCTCTCTCACCAAGACCATGACTCCAGGTTAGCAAGTTCTTCATAAGGATGAGCCCTGCTGCTTTCTTCTCAGACAGGTCTAGCTCCATGTGTAGCCCAGGCTAGCCTCCAAGTCACAGCCGTCCTCCCACCTGAGCCTACCAAGTGCTGGAGGAAGACATGCATCCCACTCGGGCCTTGAGCTGCTGCACTGTGGGATGACTACTTGCTGAGCTCAAGATGTGGCTCTCAAACCACATGTCCCCTCGATGAGTGACATCAGCCACAGTACATCCTGGAGCCAGAGCAGACAGGGAAGCTTTTCAGGGCCCCTGTTTAGGACAGGGGTGTAGCTTTTGTCCTTGAGTAGTGCAAGCTGTCTTCATATGCATATTCATTCACCTTTGCTGTGAGCTGGCCCTTACCATTCAACACCCTCAAGAGTTTGGTCCCTGGAGGTTCTAGGCATTTGTGTGGTTCACTTTCTCCAGACACCTCAAGCCTGAGGTCTGTCCCCCTGGCCTCCTGGGACCACCATGTCTATCTCTTCCTTCCCTAGGTCCTTGGCAGGCAGACAAATGTACAGCCCTGGGCCACTCACTGACCTTGAGTGTGCTTGGCCACAGAGGCGCCACTTCACGCCCTGAGATCTGAACCTTGTTTGATCAGACCTGAGCAAGATGGGCCGAGGCTGATGGCACCAGGAGGGACCTGGGCTTTGGCAGCTTCGAGTGTACACAAGGTATCCTATCCCAGGTCAGGTATTTTCCAGACCCTATCCACTCTCTGCTGTGTAAGGTTGTACTCAGAGTGTGACAAGTGCAGGTACACACCTATGTGGCAGCAGTTACATCTGGCTACCCACACAAGACGCATGTGGCTGGGGCTTCTTGAGAGGGCCTTACCTTGGACATCTGGCTGAAGTCAGCAAAGCCCTCGGCACTGCTGAAGGAGCCGCTTCCAAAGGGGTCTAGGGTTCCAAAGGGATCTGCAAGGGGCACCAACACAGTTGGGGTTATGGTCTGAGCAGATGTGCCTAACATCAAGGGGCAATCCTAGGATCCAGGAGTAGGAGACTCAGGGCTGTGAATGTCTCTGGGAAGATGGCTCACAGTGATCAAATGAGGGATTGGTTCCTGCTGTCCCACCAGTCCAGGAGAAACAGGTGACATGGAGAGAATGAGCCATTAGAGGGTGGCTGGACACACCACAGTTTGTGTGTGTGTGTGGATCATCAGCTGGGAGAGATTCCCTCACCCCCAGCTTTTCAGATAAGGTCTCACTCTGTAGCCCAGGCTGGTCTGGAACTCACAGAGATCCCCCTGCCTCTGACTCTTGAGTGGTAGGATTATTAAAGATGTGTACTCCCATGCCTGAGTCTGTTTTGAAACTAGTGATCCTCTAGGCTGTTTCCTAGTGCTGGGGTCAGAGGTGAGTGCCACCATGCTTGGGAAACTGTGGACTATTCCCATTAAGGACAATGAGCAAATGGCCCCCAGCAGATAAATTGTCTGGAAGGACGGATGCCAGCTTCTGCTGGGACAGACAGGTCTGTGAGGGTGAGATGAGGGCATCCACTTAGGCATCACGCTCCACCGAGCTACACTAATCTGGGGACTGATGACATTATTGAGGCGTGATGTAGTCAGGAGGGTGGGAGCTTCAAGTCTCACCTGATCCTTTCGAGGAGATGCTGGAGGAAGAGAAGGGATCACTGGACTCAAATGGGTCGAGCTGAGGGAGGAGAGAGAAGAGTTTATTCTGCCATCTACCCACTCAATGTACTTTCCAACACGTTCAAATGCCATTAACAATACCACACATCAGAGAGGGTGGGGTGACTCAGACAAACCTGGGCAGTGGAGGGGAATCCTCAACAGATGCCCTGCAGCAGGTAACACTGATGAATGCTATAGTCCCCACAAATGACCATGAAATGAAGGCCTGAGAAGTGAACCAAAGCCACAGACACAGAGGGCATTAAGATCTGGTAGAAGTGGAGTCTCTGCCTAAAATCCCCTAGAGAGGGGTTGGGGGCAAGGCTCAATAAAGGGAAGGAAGTTTGTCTTTCAATGGAAGGAAGAGAATCAGAAATGACACATGCCTGGTCAATCCTATGAGCACTTAACAGGCTTGATGGTGCACAACTTTAATCCTAGCACTCGGGAGGCAGAGGCAGGCGGATCTCTTAGTTCAAGGTGAGCCTGGTCTACAGAGCAAGGACACCCAGGGCTACACAGAGAGACCCTGCCTCAAAAAAAGCCAAAAATAAATAAATAAATAATAAAAATTAAAAACAGTAGTTAACTCTTTTAAATTCACACCTGTCTTCCCAGCACACAGGAGGCCAAGGCAGGAGGATTGCTCCAATTCTGAGGCCAGTTGGGACTACACTGAGAGACTATGCCTCAAAAGAAAAGAGAAATAGAGGAGAGAGACCCACATACAAAGGATCAAAGCAAAAATGACAAATGCTGCCAGCACCGTGGAGGTGGAGACAGGCAGATTTCTGAGTCCCAGGGCTACACAGAGTACCTGACTCATAAAAACAAAAACAAACTAACAAACAAAAAATTCAGAGCTGGAGGGGTGGCTCAGTGGTTACAAGCACTGGCTGCTTTTCCAGTGGGCCAGAGTTGGTTCCCGGCACCCACAAGGTGGTTCAACCACCTGTATCTCAAGGTGCAGGGATCTGATGCCCTCTTCTGGACTCCATAGGCACCAGGCACTCATGTGGTATACAGACAGATATGCAGGCAAAACACCTACAAAACTAAAATAAAAACTTCTTAAAATCTTTAAAAAGGAAAATCCCAACAGAAAAGCAATTATAAGGCACAAAGCTACACAGAGAAACCCTGTCTCGAAAAACAAAACAAAACAAAACAAAAAAAAAAAAAAAAAAGAAAAGCAATTATAGGTTGTGTTTCACTCTCCAGCATGCTGGGCAAAGGAACTGGATTCTAGAACATGTAGAATTATGCATGCATGATGAGCTAGATTGGGGATGGGACCCCAGTCTCAACATAAAATTTCTTTGTTTCTCTCGTGTGTGAGGTTTGTTTGCATGTGTGTGGGGGTGAGTGTGTGCATGCAAAGGCCAGAGGCACCTGGCCTCCTATCTCATCGCCCTCTGCCTTACTCCTTTGAGGCAGGGTTTCTCACTGAATCTGGAGCTGGGCTGGCCAGCAAGCCCCAGCCATCCTCCTGTCTCTACCCAGCTCAGGGCAGGCTGTGATGTCTAAGATCTCAGGCAGCTTGTTTCACAGGTGCTGGGGTCTCCATGTCCACCTCAGGCTTGCACAGGCACGTTCCTGACTGCTGAGCCACCACTCCAGCACCCCAGCACTGCTACCCACCCTGTGGTTTGTTGGCTTTTTTTTTTTTTTTTTTTTGAGACAGAGTCTCACAGTGTCTCACTACTTGCTATAAAAACCAGGCTGGCCTGGAATTTTGTTGTTTCTTATATTCTATACACAGCCTGAAGGGAAATTCGCACAGCATTCTAAGTGCACTTGCACCCTGGCTATATATATCCAAACCACATGAGGTCAGATGTGGAACTTTGCACTTGTATCATGATGTCAGGTCTGGCAGGGGCAGATTAGGTCCTCTGAAAGTTACATGAAGGGAAAAGCAAGCAAGATTGGCGCTTCCTGCCTTCTGGTTCCTCACTTGCACAAAAACCACTCCTTCTGGGCAGGGCTGGTTTCCTTCTCTGGCTTCTGCCATGTTGCACCCACAACAAAACCAATGGCCACACTACTCCAGAACTCTGAACCAAAATAAACCTCTTTGCTTTATTAAGTGTCCAGCCTCAGGAATTTTGTTAGAGTAACAGAAAACAGGCTAACACCCTCTAAGTTATCTAACTCAAGTGATGCCATCAGTGATTTGCACCAGATGGATCCCAGAGCACAGCCAACGAGATGGTTTATTAAGTAAAGGTGTTTGCTGACAATCTGAGTTTGTTCCCAATAACCTACTTGGTGGAAATAGACATCAACATGTGCTGTGGCACTCACAAGTGTACACACACATACAAAATAGTGGCTGTGGACTCTTCAGTAGTTAAGAGCTCTTGATGCTCTCGTACAGTCTGGTCCCCAACATCCATGTCAGGTAACCCACAACAGACTGAACTCCTGCTCTAGGGAATATGATATTTTCTTCTGGCCTCCCAGGGCACCTGCACACATGTGGTACACATAAATTCATGTAGATACACACACAATAAAAAAATATGTATTTTTTAAAAAGAACCAAAAAGAAAATAAATAAGAATGTAATTTAAAAGAAAAAAGACGGCAGGGCAGGCTGATGGAGGGAATGTGTGGGCTCTATGTGTGTGGCGCGGGGCCTCGCTGTGTTGTCCAGGACGGCCTGGACTCAAGTCTTCCCCCAGCTTCCCCTCAAGTGGACAGGACAACAGGTGCAGCCACCATGCCCAGCTTCTCGTGGTGTTTTGCTGTAGCTGTGGGAGACAGAGTGGAGGTGGGAGCAGAGGAGAGGGACAGGAAGGGACAAGAGCTATTTGAGGAGATGCCCTGGCCCCGACGTGGCGCCGTAGTGTGCTGGCTCACAAGACAGGACCTGGCAATGACAGCACTGACCAGGAATGAGACCAGGCTTGTAATCCCAGCTCCTGGCCAAGCCAGCCTCCTGACACCATGGACCCATCCAAACACACATCAGACCAGACCTGCTCAAGTGGGCCCAGAGACCACTCACCTTTGGAGGTAAGGAAGGGTTCTTTGTGAAGGGGTCTGAGGTAAACGGGTCCTTCTTTGTCTGCTTCTTGAAGAAGTCATCAGTGTTTGAGCTGTGGAATGGGTCACTTTCTTTGAAAGGGTCTCCTCCAAATGGGTCTAGAAAGAGAGGGTACAACGGGTGAGCAATGATACTAGAGAGATGTGAGGAGTGGACACCAGGGAGACAAAAACTCAGGATGAGATGGAAATTGTGGTGACTGGTCAGTTGCCCCAGAGTCAGGACCTCTCAGGGTGATGGACTGTCGACTGTCCTTCAACCTCTAAACATCTGTCAGAAGCTTTCCTGGCACCTGCTGCCAAACCTAACAGGCTGACCCACATAGAGGAAGAAGAAAACGGACTCCTACAAGTGCCCCGACCGCCACACATGGCACACCTACACACAACTGTTAAATAAAAGTTTCTTGAGACGGGATCTTGCTATGTAGACCAGCTATGTAGGCTGGCTTTGAACTTAGGAGATCCACCTGCTTCTGCCTACTGAGTCACCGAGTTCTGGGATTAACGGTGTGTGCCACCATGCCCAGTTCATAAAACTTTTTTTTTTTTTTTTTTGGTTTTTTCGAGGCAGGGTTTCGCTGTGTAGCTTTGCGCCTTTCCTGGAACTCACTTGATAGTCCAGGCTGGCCTCGAACTCACAGAGATCCGCCTGCCTCTGCCTCCCGAGTGCTGGGATTAAAGGCGTGCGCCACCACCGCCCGGCTCATAAAACTTTTTTAAAAGGAGAATTTTGTGATGTGTACATCATGCTCCATAATAAAGCCGCATTTAACACTAATAAGCAATGTGGGTGGTGCCAGGGTCAGGAAGCACACTGGTGGGACCAGGGGCAGGAAGCACACTGGTGGCGCCAGGCACTGGACAGGATGGGAGCTACTGTGACAGATGCGGGTTTCTGCTGGGGTACAAAGTTTCCAAATCTTTTCTGTTTCTGTGGCTGGGGATGGAATTCAGGCTTTCAGGCACACTAGGCAATGCCAACACAGGAGAAAAAAGTCACACATGACATATGATGGCTGTCTTTTGCTATGACATCATTGTCCCTGGCATGAGTGGTGGGAAATCCCACCATGTGTGACACTCACATCACACACCCAACATAGGCAGCTATGGCACAAGTGACCGTGTCCCCAAATGAACTGAGTCTGGAGAGACTCTGAGCACTGAGGGACACAAGGAAGCCAGCCTTTACCTGTGACTGCCGTCTGCTGCTCTGCGAAGGGATCGTTCTGGAAGGGGTCACCTGGAGCAGAGAGAGCAGCAGTCAGGTGAGTGGAGGGAGGACAGCGGGGAGACAGGCCTGCTGCCTGGTTCAAGAGAAGAAGTGGTCCCTCTGCACCCGGCCCTGCCACAGAGGGTCATGGGTAAAAAGTGGGAGCCCCAGGCCGGAAAACACTTAATTAAGCTGGCCCAGATGCTTAGCCGGCTGCAGAAATAACTAGTCTTTGAGGAAGCACTTTTCTTTCTCCACTCTGGATCCCTGCATTTCCTACCTTGCTCAGTAAGAGGACAGGGACACAGTGGCTGTCCTGGCCATGTCATGATGACCTATGACAATGCCAAAGCTGCTGGATCCGTCCCTTAGACCTAAGATCAAAATCTGAAAGCTCCCCAGGCATGGTGGTGCACAACTTTAATCACAGCACAAGCGAGGCAGAGGCAGGAGGATCTTTGTGAGTTCCAGGCCAGCCTGGTCTACAGAGTGAGTTCCAGGTCAGCCAAGGCTACACAAACATCTACCCTGTCTCAAAAAACAAACAAACAAACAAATAAAAACCTTAAAGTTAAGGGGCTAGAACAGTGGCTTAGCAGTTAAAAGCATCGCTTGTTTCTACGGAGGACCCAGGTTCAAGTCCCAGCATCTACATGGCAGTTCACAACTATCTGTAATTCCAGCTCTGGAGGATCTGATGCCCTCTTGTGCCCTCTAGGAGCACTGCACACACATGATGCACACACACGCAAGCAAAAGACCCATACATTCACAAGAAAGTATTTTAAAAAGAAAAGAAACAATAGTCCTTTCATGGCACGCAGGCTGGGGCATACCTTTGAAGGGGTCAGCTCCTTTAAATGGGTCGGACTTGAAGGGGTCCTCCGCCTGGAAGGGGTCTGGATGTAGTTCTTGTGAGTTGTTGCTAAACAGTAAGGCTTTGTTTTTGAAAGGGTCATCCTAGGAGTGTGAAGAAAGGACAGGCACTGAGTTACTTCTGATCTAAGCCAAGTGCAGGATTTCACGCTTAACTCAGATCTGCACTTGATGCAGTGTGAGCTGGAACAGAATGCCTGAGAGGAGTCACACAAGTGGAGATTTTGGCTAAAAGCAACCCTGGACATGAATTTATTTGCTGAGGAAGCAATGGAGACCAGGTGTGAACTCATGGAAACTCTGCACCATAGCTTTGCAGTGTTTCAATAAATCTAAAACAACTCTAATAAAGCCACTGAGGAGAAAGAACAAATAGATGGAATCTACCCACCCACATGGTGGAATAATACTCAGCCTTGAAGAGGATGAAAATTCTGCTGTAAAAAGAGGAGACTTGAGGATGTGAAGCTAAGTGGAAATAAGATGTCAGTGACAGAGAGATAAATGCTGTGTGATCCCATTCATACGAAGCCCCTGGAGTCACCACATTCACAGGGACAGAAAGTGGAATGACGGGGCCAGTGCCATCGACCCTCACCCCCCACAAGTTCTATGTCAAGAAACAAGTGGGCCGTTTCTGCCTGAGTGGGAAGTGGGGCTTGGGGTGACACTGGTACAGTGGGAGCTGCTAAAGCATGCAGGGCACTTTGCATTTTTATAAAAAGGTGCTTATTTCTAGAAACTGGAAAGTGTATTCAAAGCAGCAGAACAACAACAACAACAAAAAAATTTACTTTTGAAGAGTGCTTGTCCATAGTGGAAATGGCCTGTGGGGCGGGGTAACCCCTGTAAGTAGAATGCTGGGTTGAGAATTAGGGATCTGTTCTGCTTAACAGAGACACAATCCTCCATGAAACAGGGATGTTTAACTGGAATACTTTTTTTTTTTTTTTTTTTTTTTTTTTAGGGAGGCAGGGTCTCGCTGTGCAGCCCTGACTGGCCTGGAACTCACTATGTAGACAAGGCTGGCCTTGGGCTCATATATCAGCCTGCCTCTGCCTCCCTGACTGTTGGGATTAAATGTGTGGGCTACCATGACCAGCAGATGGTTTCTCACAGACACCTGCAGCTGGGCGAAGGGACTGTCATTCCTCCCCTGACCAAGTCATTCAAAGCTAGGACATCTGTGAAAGCAGACAATGGTTTGAAGAAATGACATGAAAAGGACGCATTCTAATAAGGCTGCCTGCACCTGGGATAGGAGAATGGTGCCCAGAGGGACTAGGTTAAGAGGAAGCCACTAGATAGGAACAGGGAGCACCCTGGTTCTGGGAGAGGCTGAAGCAGGAGGATAAGAGTTCCTCACCAGCCTGGTCACACAGTAAGATAAAACAGGAAGCAGCGGTCACTGACTTGGGGGAAGAAGTGGTGGGCCATAGTCTTACCTGGGACTGATTCTTCGGAGCTTCTGGGCACAGGCCTTCCTAAAGAAGCCAGGCCTGGCGCTCAGGGAGGTTAAGCACAGATGCAGCCAGCGTGGCATCTGCTGAAGACACCTGGGTGCTGCCAGCCCTGAGAGGCACACACCCCAGTGCAGCTGCTGGGGTTCAGGATGGAGAGAAATGCGATGGGAGATTCTGACCGAAAGAAGCCCGTGCACTGAGGCAGAAGACAGACCTACCTCTCTGCCCTACCATGGGCAAAGGAAGGACACACAGCTGTTGGGGTTCAAGGACAGAGAGACACCGGCAGAAGGTCATGACCTAAGGAAGCCCTGAACCGGGCAGAAGACTCTTGTACTAGCCCTGGGTGAGGAATGGGCTGTGTTTCAAAAGACAAAGGGATGAGGGATGGAGCTTGGTTTCAAAAGGAAACTCATGTCATTTATGGACAGGGCTAGGTACTGACTATCTGTTGTTTACAATTGCTGAAGGGAAGACGAGGAATGGGTTTCAATGGAACAAATGTGCCTGTGAACTGCACTACCAGTTCTCACATGGTGGCATGGCGGGACCTATGCAGTGATGTCAGAAGGAGTCGTACACCTTGTGCAACTGTGACACTCCCCCCAAAGGGGGCCACAGCATAGCTGGTTGCAGATCAGCGGCAAAGACTAACCGAGCATGTATGCAGCCCAGCACTGCAGCCAAGGCACTGGCTCAAATTAACAGTAAGGAAGAAACAGAGCTGGAAAGAGGGCTTTTCCCCACCCACAAATGGGAACATGGCCAGCCACCAGCCAGGAGAATGAAGGGCATGTCACTCTGGGAGACAGAATATAAGGGCAAGAATAGGCCTGTGGCACTTCCAAATGCAGGACACATTCTATCATTGTGTGCATAGAAGCGGATAAATGAATCTACAATGCCACTAGTAGATGCCATCTTCTCAGAGCACCGAATCACGTGGTCACTCGGTGATGTAACTGCATTAGGGTGGGTGATAAGTACCTTCACAGAGCTAAAACACAGTAACTACTTTCATTTAATTACTAGGTTTTGCAGCATGGAGGATGGGACCCAGGGCCTCACACACACTGGGCAAGACCCCACTACTGAGCCACGTGCCCAGCTGCAGAAAACACCTTCAAAAGCAAGGCAGCAGCTAGCCCTAAGCTCTGCCTGCTTTCAGAGTATGGACCAGGTCACAGAGGACACCCAAGAAGTTTCTGTGACATCCTTGCCTTTTACAGAATGTTGGGGACTGGGTGTGGGGTGCATCCCTTTCATCTCATCACTTAGAGGCAGAGGCACATGGATCTCTGTGAGCCCAAGGTCAGCCTGGTCTTCATAATGAATTCCCGGCCAGCCATGGCTATACCGTGAGACCTTGTCTCAACAAAACACAACAAAACCAAGTTTGTTGGGTGGGTGCCCAATGCTGCAGCTCCTGCTAACTGTACTGATGCAAGTATTCCCATCCTCAGTTGAGTTCAAGTTACCAGCTAAGCGTCTCTCATTTATAAATCCTTGCTGGGAGTCCATAACCTTGGCCCCTGAATGTTACCAAGGCTCGAGTGGCCAAGGACCCAACCTATCCTGATGAGTCAAAGTAACAAATGGGATGGTGCACGACTTGCTCTCTGCTGGGTGGGCTGGCTGGGTATCCAGGAAGAGGCTCCCATCAGTCACAAGAAATAAACATGGCCTTGGGCTGGGTGAAAGGCTCGGTGGTGAGTACTTGCTAGCATGTGTGAGGCCCTGGGCTCCACCTGTGCTAACATGTGTGAGGCCCTGGGCTCCACCTGTGCTAACATGTGTGAGGGAGACCCTGGGCTCCTCCTGTGCTAACATGTGTGAGGCCCTGGGCTCCTCCTGTGCTAACATGTGTGAGGCCCTGGGCTCCACCTGTGCTAACATGTGTGAGGCCCTGGGCTCCACCTGTGCTAACATGTGTGAGACCCTGGGCTCCACCTGTGCTAACATGTGTGAGGCCCTGGGCTCCACCTGTGCTAACATGTGTGAGGCCCTGGGCTCCTCCTGTGCTAACATGTGTGAGGGAGACCCTGGGCTCCACCTGTGCTAACATGTGTGAGGGAGACCCTGGGCTCCACCTGTGCTAACATGTGTGAGGCCCTGGGTTCCACCTGTGCTAACATGTGTGAGGGAGACCCTGGGCTCCACCTGTGCTAACATGTGTGAGGTCCTGGGCTCTACCTACAGCACTGTGAAAGAAAAAAGTAATTAAAGGTATACACACAGAAGTGAACATGGTCTTAAGAATCCCATTGTCTCCACCATGGGAACTTACATTTAGCTCAGTGACTCAAGAATCACCTACAGAAAGTTCTAGATGTGCCACTCTGGTTGCACTGTTCTCCACAAGCACAGTGCCTAGCTGCACCCCACAAAGAGAACTGACAGAGCACACTCTGCTCCAGACAGTCCCCAGATGGAATACTGAACAAAGACCTTGCTTCAAATTGTTTATTAAGAAATGGAAACAACCCCAAAAATGATCTTAAAACTATTTGTACAAAGAGATGTGGGTTCCTTCAGACACAAGTCCTGAGCTTCTAGGTAATATATCTGATAGTTACACTGTACACGTGACAGTCCACCATGCAAACTCTGCCTGCTTCAATAATGGACAAAAATTACCAGGTATGAAAGGCTCAGGTGGTAGCAGAAATGACCAGCTACCTGAAACTGTCATCCACTGCCAAGATGCAGCCCAGGATGTGAGCCTGATAAAGGCACAGAGAACCGGGCACACTCCTTTAATCCCCACAACTGGAATCTCTGGAGTTCCAGGCCAGCCTGGGTTGCAGTGACACCTTGTCTCAAAAAGAGAGAGAGAGAGAGAGAGAGAGAGAGAGAGAGAGAGAGAGAGAGAGAAAACGAACAACAAACCAAGCAGGCTACAAGGGCAGGCTTAAGCCATGATTTCCCTGGCCCAGGACACAGGACAAGCCAGCTGCATGGGGAGCAATGGTGAGATGGAATAGAGAGCACAGTCACAAGATGGAAACACACACCAGCTACAGGCCACAAAGCAGGGAATTCCATGGGAATCCCATGGAACAGTGAAGCCTGAGATGCCCATGGTGGGCAGGAAGCCACCTGCTTGTGCGTCTAAGAGTGAACGGGACTTCTGCGGGCAGACACGAGGGACAGGCAGGGTTACAGACAGCACCTTTTAAGTAGTCCAGGGGAAGTAGTCTTCCCTGTGAGTTCTTGGATGCGAAAGAAACACAGAGAAGAGAGGGGAAGGTGGCTGTGTTTAAAGCACAAGGCAAGGAGGGAAGGGACCAAGAGGAAGAAGCAGCAGGGCTGGAGCAAGGCAGAGCCCTGGAAGATGAGGCGGCCAAGTGGTTAAGAGTAGCATAGCACCCCAGATACTATAGGCCCAACCACAGAGACATCCCTGGATGGGGCTGATGACTCCAACAAGGGGCACTGACAACCCGAGAGAAGGGTCACACTGCCTAGGCTGATGGCTCACAAGCAGAGAGGGTCACACAGTGTTGAGGTTCTCCCAGAGAGGCCGGCCGACAGCTGACTGCGCAGCACCTGGAAAGCAGACAAGCTGTGGTGCTCTCAGTGTGCACTGCAGGATGGGACCTGGGGCCTTCAGTGCTTACTACAAGCTCCAGCTCCAGCTGATTTTTCATCTTTCAGAATCACTTGGCCTGAATAACACATGTGCACCCCAAGGCTGCCATCTGTGGAGTATGGAACTTCCACAGTATGGGACTACATGGGCTTCGGTTAGGTTTGCCCTCTACATTTGTGTGACTGGCCCAATAGAAAACACTTCTGAGGAAATGAACACTTGGGCCTCACAGCTTTTAGACAGCAGGATAAACTCAACCGCCAGCCCTGGGCCCTGTGCAGATTGCCATCAAAAACAACGGGTGCCATGCACTGAGGGAGCCAGTGCCGTGTGCAGATCTGTAGGTGCAGCAGAGCCCACGAGGACCAGGAGACGCTTACTCGACCTTTACCATGGCTCCAAAGCCGCCTCTCTCTGCCAGCAAGATGCCTTCACTCAGGGTGGCCAGGTCAGGCAGGCTGGTGCCAGAGACCCCATCAGGCACCTGGTCGTACTGTTCCAGGCTCCGGTGAGCTTCTAGGTGGCTCTCCTGCAGCTGCGACAGCTTGCTTCTTGCCTAAAAGACAAACACCACAGACATTAAGAGGAGCACGGGGTACAGCCAGCAAGATGCCTTGCCCAGGGAATCATGCACACAGGACTGCCCTGCACAGGCTGTACACCAGACAGGATGCACTGATCCATGAATACCAAGACACCCTACTGCTCCAGACCTCTGCGGCCTGGCCCCCAGAGGAGCACTTGCTCCCTCAAACCAATTCTCAACCAACTACAATTAGGCAGAATCTGGATTGGCAATCTGTTCCTTCTCAGGGTTTTATTACATGCTTGTTTCCCTCACTCCCAGACAAAGAACTCGTGGAGAGGGAGGGTGACACACGCAGAAGAGACAGCTCGGTGCATGCAGCTGGCCTGGACCCAACCTCTGTTTCTCTATTGTTTTGTTTGGTTGAGACAGGGTCTCTCTACATAGCTCTGGTTGTCCTGGAACTCACTATGTAGACCAGGCTGGCCTCCAACTCACAGAGAACCACCTGCCTCTGTGTCACAAGAGCTGGGATTAAAGGCGTGCATCACCATGCCCAGCTTTTTGTGGTTACTGTTGTTGTTGTTTTCTGTCTCCTCTAATTTAAAAAGAAATACTGTGAATGATGGGAAGGCAAAGATGGGAATGTCAAAATGACACTCACTATGTAGCATCTGTTAATGAAAGATAAGGGGAAGAGGAGGAGGAGACACCAGAGGAGGGCCTGCAAAGGCTGAGGCAGGAGGACAGATCACAAATGCAAGGCTGACCTGAGCTACATGATAAGACTCTGCTTCAAGAACAACAACAACAAAAATGATGGTGGCTATGGTGGTGCACACCTTTAATGCCAGCACTCAAGAGACAGAGACAGGGTCTGTTCAAGGACAGAGTTCAAGGATAGCCTGGTTTACATAGTGAATTCCAGACCTGCAGGGGCTACAGAGTGAGACCTGTCTAGTCCCATCATCCTTCTATCAGCAACTCTACATGCATCTTGGGCCATCTCCATGTAAGACTCTGAGGGCAGGAGGAAAAAACCTGATAATAATCCTACAGGATTAACATTTATAAAATACAATATATAAGACACAAGGAGGCACTGAGACAAGGAGGCACCCACATTGCTCTGTCAGCCTGTAGCCTGCAGACAAACAGACACTTTCAGTCTAGAGGACACAGGTTTTCTTTCCTATGTACTAAGGCCCTGTACCATCCTGTTCTGTGGCCTGCATCCCAGAGACCACCACGAAGACCAATGACCACCATATGCAGGATAGGGCAGAGTCAGAGCTTTCTCCCCGCTGCCAGAAGAGACCAAGCATTCATGGACAGGGCGCCAGGCACCCTGAGCCACACTGCACAAAGCCCTCCACAGCTAATCTCCCCAGCACCAGTGACCCCAGCACACAAGCAAGTGAGACAAAAAAAGCCACAGTAACAGTGCAGCCGCACGGGGGCCCAGCTTCTGCTCACTGCCAGCCCCGTGAAAGTACCTGGTTGATTTCATCTTGCGTGGACTTGAGGGACTTGAGGATGGTCTCTAGCTGGGCACGCCCAGCCTGGATGCTCTGCTCCAGCTGTGTCTCCTCCTGCTGCAACCGATTCAGCTCTGACTTGGCCCGGTTGAGGTCATCCTCCTGGGACTTCAAGTCTGACTCCTGAGACTGGATCTGGGTTTTCAATGATGAGATCTGAAATGACAGTCAAAGGACTCACAAGTCAGAGCACAGAAAGACAGACAGCAAACTTTCTCACTGTGTGAAGCTGGGGAGACGGTTAGCAGGTAAAGGTGCCGGCTTCCAAGCCTAAAGATCCGGGAGCACAGAGTGGAAGGAGAGGACCAAGTCCCACAGCTATCCTGACCTCTACATGCACACGCATAACCTCTCACAAACATGAATAAGTATAATAAACAGCTTTTAAAAGAGGTAGCAGCCGGGCGGTGGTGGCGTGCGCCTTTAATCCCAGCACTCGGGAGGCAGAGGCAGGCGGATCTCTGTGAGTTCGAGGCCAGCCTGGTCTCCAAAGCGAGTTCCAGGAAAGGCGCAAAGCTACACAGAGAAACCCTGTCTTGAAAAAACAAAATAAATAAATAAATAAATAAAAAATAAAAGAGGTAGCATAGGCATGGGAAAAGCAGAGAGGCACCTGGAGCCCTGTTCCCTGCTGTGGGACACAGACCACAGCAGGGTGTCCAGGCCACGGGTACTGAAGCCATGCAATTCTGCAACTTTATCTCTAGGAACAGAGAGATCATTCATAGGTCAGGCCTCAAATGCCTGGAGTTTCCCAGCTCACGTTTCAGTGATTCCACTCCAGGTATTTTGTCATTGGTCAGTGAGAGCATTGGTCAGGGGACATCTTCCACACCGTGGGACTCACCATCTGGGTCTCATCCTGGCATTTCTGCCGCACGTCACTCAGCATGTCCCTCAACTTGGCCTTCTGCTGGTCCATCTCATCCAGGCGGTCCTGGGCGTCCTGCTTCTGAGCCTCAAGCTCCTGCAGACTGCTGGTTTCCCTGTCTAGGTCATTTTGTAGTTCCTATGGGAAATGGATGGATGCTGACTGGTAACTGGCCCTGAACAAGGAGAGATTAAAAACTCTGGGCTGGGCTGTGGCTCTGCAGTAGGAACCGTGTGGTGCCAGGCTCCATCACCATGCTGGCCGAGAGTAAGCATGAGGTCCTGGGTTCTTGTCTGGCATCTAAGCACAGGTGAGGCCGGGTTTTTACCCTCATTGCCTACCAAGCATGAGTGAAACCCCAGGTTCCATTGCCAATGCCACCAAGGAAACAAAAACACTTTGCAATCCCAAGGCTGTTTCCCATGGTCCCTACACTCAGCACAAAGCAGGCCCAAGCTGCCAGGTGGTGGTGGCACACACCTTTAACCTCAGCACAGGGGAGGCAGAGACAGGCGGATCTCTGTGAGTTCAAGGCTAGCTTGGTCTACAGAGGGAATTCCAGGACAGCCAGGGCTATACAGAGAGACTGTCTTGAAAAATGGAGAAAAAAATCAATCAATCAAACAAACAAACAAACAAAAAAAAAACCCCAAAAGTGCAAGTCAGAATGCAGTATTCACACCTGTACTTCACTGGTTTTCTGTCTGATTGCCTCTTCCTTTTCTCTGATGTCTTGTTCCAGTGAGTATTTCTCTCTGTGGGTTTAAAGACAATGCATAAAAACAGAGTAGACACTGCTGTCACCCTGACTGACTTCAGGCCTGATCCTATACTCCGACAGAATGACCCTGTGACCCTCCATGTGTCCTGACCCCTCAGGCTTGCCACACAACTGGTCCTATGTCACAGTCACAGTGACAGCATGTATCCTGAGGTCCTCATCAGAGGCCAGATAGATCAGCTTCCAAAACTGAGGGAAGGAAGCCCCTGTCTTTATACATCACCTAGCCTCAGGTATTTTTTACAGCAACACTCTTAGGCTAACCAACAATCCCCTACCCTAGGGTGCAGTGGAATCTGCACATGACAGGCCTCCCTCCCAGTGCCCACTGCCTGAGAGCAGTGTCTTCTCCAGCTGATGGCCAAAAAGGAAAATGGAGACTTGTAGGTGTGACAAGGACTTGTCAAGCCCTTACTAACTCTGAAGGTTCAGGAGGCAAACAGGGAGGAATAGAGATGGTCTCCAACATTAGCACGCCCCACCCCACCCCACCCTCAAGCTGACATCAAGGAAATGGAGAGCTTGGCCCAAAATGGCAAGGATCCAGAGAGAAGCCCAGGCACACACCTTTTCCATGGGCTCCAACACCCTAGACAGCTGGTACAGGCACCTGGACTCCCTCCTGTGAGCTAATATACTTATGCCACCACGATGTTCAAGTCTGTGACTGTCGAACAGAGACACACCATCCCCAACATCCCATACCCAATCAAATGCTACTCAGGAGTCTGAAACTGAAGGTCTGCTCAACAGGAGTAGGGGGGCACTGGGAACAAACACCTGCACATGAACACCTACTAGTACCACAAGGAACAGTGGACTCTGGGGAGGTACTATGGGAATGAGGATATATGGGAGAAGACTTTTCTGGAGGACACGAATGGAAAACAAAGCTGGGCTAAGGGAATCGTGTGGAGTGACATGGAAAGCAGTAGCAGTCACCCTGCCTGTGGTAAAGGGCAGTGAGGAACTGGCCCACTGTACACACCAGGCGCTCCAGACTTGGGTTTATATCCTAAGCTATGTGCTGGACTCTCTGCTTATCTCTGCTGCTGTGTCCCCATGCAGCTGTGTAGCCACAACCTGCTGAGGCTACCCGGACAGTGTGGACTCAGAGCAACAAAGACCCAAACAGAAGCAGATCTGAGAAGACTTGTCCTCCCTCAGGAGTCACCAGGAAGAGGGTAGTGGCATACCTCTGCAACTGAGCGATCTCCTGGCTAATGTCATCCAGCTCCTTTACACCAGTGAACTCTCCTGACCCGAGAGCACTTGAGCTATCCTAGGATCAAAAGTCAGACAGAGTCACAGGGAGCCAGCAGCCCACATCTCTGCTACAGCAGGGGATAAAAGTGCTGGCCACTGGCCTGAAAACACTCCAGGTGGCCCAGTCACAGTATGCCCCACCCCGATCCCCAACCTGTGTTTGGGGACTGAGGGCTGTGGGGCTCTTGGGGCACCAGTGCCACCTTCTGGTGGGTGGCAGAAACAACAGAAACAAGGGTGTCTGGTTACTCACTGGAATAGGAGTGCCTCTCTCCGAGGGTGGCACCATGTCTGGCGAGAGGACTTGAGGAGGGTCGATGCCTTTACTGACCTTCTGCTGAATGAAATACATAGCTAGCGCGAATTGCTCTTTGCTTAACTTCCCCGTTTGTCTTGTATCAGCCAGGGCCCTGGGAGAGACGTGGGATGCAATTACACACCACAGCTACATGTACCACCTACCCCGAGCAAGCCCGCTTACCAAGCCCACCAGGACCAGAGCAAGCCCCGGGCACTGCCTCCATGTTTCCCCCAGTGCTGATGAGCACCTACCCAAGGCTGATCACAGGCCTCACAGCGTGGGAGTGAGGTTTTGGCCTACTGAGCTGAGAGGCGTCTGGTCTCAGAAAGGACACCCCCCCACCCCTGCCAACACACACACCTCCAGCTGGCTGTAAGGGTCAAGGCTTTCTTGGTTCATCTTGTGCAAGATACTGAAGAGATGCAATTGCCCATAAGCCCCTGTGCAGATGGGGCAGGGCTACACTCTCATTCCTGTTTAATCTAGAGATCTGGAGGTTGCGTGAGTCAGTGGGGACAAGAGCTGCACTGTGGAGGCCTGGAGACACTCCCTGCCCACAGCGTCTGTGCCACCAGAAGCTTGCCTCTGGCCTCTCTGTGCCCAGTGTGGAACAAGAGAGAACAGGAGTGCCCAGACTTGAGCTGGCAGTGAATGGCCTCGTGAGGGACAAACACTTCCACTTCTGGTGATCGATGCAGCTGCTGTTCAAATGCAGTTGTTTGCCAGAGGCACACGGTCTCCAAGTGCCCGCTCTGGCAGCAGCTACTTGCAGAGCATCGGTGAAGAAGAGCAGGCTCGGGTTGCTGTCTGCGGCGCCTCCTTTACTTGAGTGCGGCAGCTCAGCTCTGAAGGAGCCGGCGTCCTGCCTGAGGAGGCAACTCCGTGGCCACTGCCCCTTCGTCGGCTCTGCTCCCTGCCCGGCTAGGATTATTCAAGATGGTTCTTTCTGGCCATCAGGTGACTGGCTCAGTTTCCCTGCTACAGTCAGGAAGTCATTCAAGGCCCTGGCCCTGGACAAGCCGACAATGCCTTGGACCAGGGCAGCCACAGAAGCCCCATTCTGAGATGGCAGAGGGAGGATGAAGGTGGCTCCTCTACCCAGCACCAAGTGTTACACAGTGGCCACCATCTAACCAGAACAGCTATGACTGCTTGCCAGAGGACCCTGAGAGCAAGCCTGTTGGCTCCTGACTGTCCATGTGCCAGATGATTTTGTAAACTTTACACAGTCTAGACATATCTGGGAAGATGACTCTTGAGAAAATGCCTCCATCAGATTGGCCTGTAGGCAGCTCTGTGCGGGCATTTTCTTGATTAATGACTGATATGGGGGAGGGAGGCTCACTGTGGGTGGTGCCAACCCTTGGCAGGTGGTCCTGAGCTGTATAAGGAGGCTGAGCAAGCCATGAGGCGCAAGCCAGTAAGCAACACTCCTCCATGGTCTCTGCATCAGTTCCTGCCTCCAGGTTCCTGCTCAAGTTCCTGCCTGACTTCCCTCAGTGATGGACTGTTATCTGGAAATGTAAGCAAAAATAAACCATGTCCACATTGCTTTTGGTCACAGTGTTTTATCACAGCAATAGAAACCTTAACTAAATCAGTCCTCCATAGGAGGACAGGGTAGGGAGGGTCACTGGACCCTCATCTACACCTCCCAACCACTGTATGTAATTCTGCTCTAATCTCACATAGCCTGTGGTCTCAGGAGGTTCCAGGATCCACTGAGTGTGGAAAGTTAACTGAAGGGGACTCCATCAATGCAGCTGTGGGGGTTATCAGCCTCTCTGGAGGTCCCCCCCCCCCCATCTCTTGTAAAAAGCATCTCACCAATGAACTGCAAGCCCAATCAACTCCCTGGTGCCCCACTGGACTTCAGTGGTATGTATTTGGTTTGTCCTTGGTGCCCCATGGGGGGAAGGGTGTTACATCTCCCCAGGAAAGGATTCCCACAGCACTGAGGAACAAAACAGGGTAGGACTCCCCACCCTCCTCCCTGTTGAAAGAAGATGCTGCCCTTCCAAGTGGGACCTCATTGGAACTGTCAAGGCCCTCTTATTTTACCCAAGTGGCAGGCAGAATGACTATCACAAGTGGCTGAGGCAAGGTAAGGCTTGTGGAGAGATTGTGCCAAGAGAACTCTCCAATAAGGCTGACTCGACCTCCCTGTACACTGACACCTAGGAAACTGGAGCCCTCCCTCCCACCTGCCCGCTTCCCAGCCTCTCAGAGCCACCTCCACCACAGCTTCCATTCTTACCAAATGTGTGCCAGAAGGTTCTGTGTGAGGCCTGAGTGCATGAAGATCTCCTTCACTTCCTGGCCACTCACATAGCCATCGAGGTCCAGGTCCGTCTTCAAGAAGATCTCATCAAAGCGCATCTTATCTGCCACAGGCACCACCCAGGCCACTGGTGGCTGAAAGATGTTACAACAGTGATTTACTTACCTGTGAGCCCTGTCCCAGCCCGAGGCTCTACTTACAGGGCTCTCACAGATAGTGTCAGATCCATGCAGCTCAGGTCCCAGAACCCTTGCCAGCGGCAGCAAGGGAATAAAGAAAGGATGGACACAAAGACAGTGTACAGGGAAGTTCAAGTCGCGTGAGGTTCTCTGCTGCTACCACAACCGCTACCTCTGAATCCAGAACCACAGCATGGGTATGGTGTATGGGTATGTGTGTAAGCTACCGTCTCAGGCTAGAAACAACCAGGAAGAAACTGCAGCTGCTAGTCTCTGCACACACTGACAGTTTCTGTTGTTTTGATTTTTAATATAATTATCCCTCAGCTCTCGTGAGGCTGAGGCAGGAAAATTATGATTTCCAGGCCAACCTGGGCTACATATAGTGAGACCCTGTCTTTAATGGGCACCAGACATATTTATCTGCTAGTGACTGCTCTGTGCTGTACAGCCATGCCCTCCCTCCCTACACAGCCTCTGTTGGCCCCAAGAGGCCTATCAGTACATGCCAGCTACTGAACCCTCATGGATGCCGAAACTCTCAATGCTTTCTCAATGCGTACACAGATCCTACACACATTCTCCCAAACACTTTCCCCATCTTAACATGACTAAAAATGCCTAACCTGATGTCACAGCTGTGTGCAGTACACTATTTCTCTGTCCTAAATGCTCACCTTGCCAAACTATGTCCTCTGCCAGGAAGCCTTCCCAGCATCCAGACCATGACCCTCTGTTCTTTATAAATGACCTTAGCTGTGGGATTCAGTTACAGTGACAGGATGCTGCTGCCTTTGAGTTAAGGGGCTGCAGCAGGCTGGTGTCTGGAGCCAGAGAGTAGAGGAAAGGTAACAGGCATCAGACAAGCTGAACTGAACTGACAAGGCAGAAGGGCTTCTCAACAGATGAGTCCCAAGAAACTAAGACTCTAGGATAGAGAAAGTCCTGTGTGCAGTACCAACAAAATAAAACTCTGCCTAAGTGCTGGAGCCAGGCATACTAATGTGAGTGTATCAGCGATAAGTGAAGGAGGGCACACTTGTGGCTAGAAGGTACCACACTGCACCCAGGCCACCAGGGCACGGAACTAGGAGGGCACTGGAGCCCCTCCTGTGGTGGTATGATGACCTGAGGGATCATAACTATGGGTCCCAGAAAACACCTATCTTCATGACAAATGCCCCATCTTAGGTTTAAAAAAAAAAAAAAGAAAGAAAGAAAGAGAAAAAAAAACCTGGCCTGGTGAGAAGTCTGGAGGTAACCGGGGATGCCTGAGGCTATGCCAGATAATTTGGCCTCGGCTGCTTCCTTCCCAGCCAAACACCTACCCAGGCCTCTGCTCACAACAGCTCTCTCTTGGCAAGGGCTCACTGGTGAGCTGTAGTGGCTAAACAAGTGGCCAGCTCTTGCCACCCTGGCCTCCTCTTGTTCTAGAGCGCACGAAGTATTCTAATTCAGCCCAGCCATGGCTGCTCTTCTAATGGCTTCTTGTCATTTCAGCTCAGATGTCACCTTGCTGGGACCCTTCCAGCTGGCTTATCTATGGAGGGGTCCAACCCGACTCCTTGCACTTCTTCAGTTTACCAATTTGCTTATTGTACATGTAAGAACAGAAGATTGTTGTATGACACTGCGAAACACTGAGCACTCTGAGGACATTCTTGAGTGTGGCTGCAAAAAGACATGAGGAAGCCAGGTGGTGGTGGTGCATGCCTTTAGTCCCAGCACCCGGGAGGCAGAGCCAGGTGGATCTCTGTGAGTTCAAGGCCAGCCTGGGCTCCAAAGTGAGTTCCAGGACAGGCTCCAAAGCTACACAGAGAAACCCTGTCTCGAAAAACCAAAAAAAAAAAAAAAAAAAGACACCAGGAGTGGAAAAGCTAGGGGTGTGGCTCAGGGGTGGAGCCCCTGCCTAGAATCCCCAGTGAGAGGCTGGGGGCGTGGCTCAGGGGTGGAGCCTAGAATCCCCCAGTGAGGGGCTGGGAGGTGACTCAGTGGCAGGATGCTTGCCTGGCATATGTAAGACCTAAGTTCCATTCCCAGAACTGTAGGAGCATGTTGTGTGAACATACATGAAATAATAAAGGAAAGGGAGAGCAGTGAACACCGGGCTGGGGGATACTCAGGGGGTTGAGCTTAACTCCATCCACCCCCACCCCTAACATCAAGTGGCCTCAGGAGTTGTGAGTGCTGAGTTCCCAGTGATGATGCCGTCCATCCTCCCAATGGTCTCTGAAATGCTAGGGCAGTACCATGTCCTACAAGTTCTCTGAGAAGGAGCCTCCCAAGTTACTGACCACTTACCTCCCCACTAGTCACAGAGAGAGCACACTGACCCCATCTGCCCTTCTTGCTGTCATCCTCACGATCTGATAATGGGTAAGGTGTTGTCCACCTGCCTGCCCAAATCTATCCTCAAAAATACAAGAGGGGCCAGAGACATGGCTCTGTGGGTAAAGGTGCTTCCCACCAAGCCTGACAACCCGTGTTTGATCCCCACAGTCCACGTGGAGGAAGAAGAGAACCGACTCCTGCAAGTTGTCCTGACCAACAAGCCTGCTGTGGCATACTCTCCTGTGTGTGTATGTCCACTGAGTGCCTTGGATGCCCCAGAATGTTCCAGGGGGACTGTGCAGTGTGCAGGCAGCCCCAGAAAGGCACGGTGTGTGGACTGGAGGAGGGCTCTGTGTGACATCAATCAGAGGCCATGCCACATGTCTGGCCAAGTGTAAGCTTAAGGAAGGGACGACTGAGCTGAGGAACATGGCCTCCTGACCCGGGTGGGGATGGAAGCCAAGAAGAGAGGGTTGGGGCTGAGGACTAAGCCACAGCTGGGCAGGGATAGGAAGAGGGCACCTAGGGGTTGGGGTGGGGGGCGTGTTTGAAAAAGGGTACTATGGTCACCCCACATACCCACAGGTTCTGCACCCACCTCAGGAAAAATACTGCCAGGCACTTATCTGTCATCCTAGAATTCAGGAGCTGAGGCAAGGGAATGGAGGCTTCTGGAGCAGCTTGGGGTACACAGCAAGCTGCTGTCTCAAAATGAGAGAAGAAGAGCACCTACACAGTTCAACACCAACAGGTGTCTTTCTCATTGTTCACCAAGTAACTCTGTGCACTAAGCATGCGAGCAGCACTGTCCCCCACATCAGTCCACGCACACTGAAGATGGGGACAGCGTGGCAGCCACAGCAGTCTCTAAATGGTCAGAGAAACCAAGGGGCCAGGGCTGGGCACTGGCTCAGTTTTGATTGAGACTGATTGCTACATAATCCTGAGGATGGCAGTGCTGATCCCAGAACCACGTAGCAAGCATCCTGCAAGTGCCTGCAACTCCTGCTCCAAGGGGGTCAAAGACAGGGAGATCACTGGGGTTCGTGGCTGCCGGCGTAGGCAGGAAACAAGAGCCCCACGTCTGGAAGAGATCCTGCCTCAAAGGAATTCAGTGAAGGAGGAGGACATCTGATACCCTCTTCTGCTCTCCAAACAAAGATATGTGCACATACTTGTACAAATGCATGCACATAAACACATAAACATACACATAAACAAATAAACAAACAAATAAATAGGTGCATGCATAAATAAATAAATAAATAAATAAATAAATAAATAAATAAATAAATAAATAAATAAATAAATAGGTGGATGAGTGAATGAATATAAATAAATGAGTCTTTTCTCCCCCACCCCCTTCTTCCTGAGTTAAAATCTTGGCTCTTCACTTTTTAAAAATATTTATTTATTTGTTTGTTTGTTTGTTTATTTATTTATTTCCAGGCAGGGTTTCTCTGTGTAGCCCTAGCTATTCTGGAATTCTCTTTGTAGACCAGGCTGGCCTCAAACTCAGAGATCTGCCTGCCTCTGCCTCCCAAGTGCTGGGATTAAAGGCTTATGCCATGCAAGTCACCACCGCCCATTAATAATTTATTTTTAATTGGTGTTTTGCCTGCATGTATGTCTGTATGAGGGCACTGGATCCCCTGGAACGGGAGTTACAGACAGCTATGAGCTGCCATGTGGGTCTTTTCTCTTAATGTGGTGAGTCTAAGGGCACACATAGGCTCTGTGCAGACACTGTATCACTTCGATGAGGACTTGACATTGGTGAGCACTGGTACCCTGGGGCTCCTGGAGCCCAAGCTCCATAGACACCGGGGAACAATTTCACTTACCTGCAAGTGAGCAAGAAAGTTCATTCTGAATCCTTCTAGCAATTTTTCTAGGTTACTTATTTATTTTATATGTACTGGTATTACTGCCTATGCATCACATACATAAGTACAGACTGCTGTGGGCTGCCATGTGGGTGCTGAGAATTGAACCTGGAAGAACAGTCAGTGCTCCCATCCACTAAACCATCCCTCCAGCCCAATACTTCTAGTAAATTTTTTAGAAAATTGGATCAAAGTTTTCTCCTTTTTGCTGTCAAGAAATAGTGCAGAACAGAACCAGGAACACTGACCTGAGTCTGCTTGACGCTGTGCTTTGGGGACAGGCTGCCTGTGCTGTTGAGGCTGCTGACGCTGCCATGGGATGGCGTGGAGCGGAGGCTGTCTTTGGGTGGGGGGCTGGCAGGCAGGACAGGCACAGCACCTGCAAACACTGTCTTCTTCTTCTTGGAGGGTGGGATGAGGGATGGGGGCAGGACAGAGGGCACTGGCTCCTTCTCCAAGGCGCGGTACACCAAGTGCATGGCCTGTGGTGCCAATGAGAAGAGAAGGGAACTGAGGGGGCAGGGGTCACATAACAGAAAAGAGTCTCATGCAGTATTGGAGCCATGGGGACCCCAAGAGGCTCCAAGGAATCCGCAGCTTCTTGAGACATGTTGAGTTTAGGTGAGTGAAGTGAGCATAGATGGCAGTCATCCAGACACCACACAGCCAGTTCTGAGGGTTCCTTGCCAAGATTTGAGTTACCTGTGGTCTGAAATGTTAGGTAGGAAATTCCAGAAACAAAAAAAAACACATTCATAACACGTCTATTATAGCACATTGCCATGACTGTTTTGAGACAGGTGTCTCACGTATCCCAGGCTGGCCTCACGCTCACTAAATAGTTGAGGATGACTTTAAACAACTGATCTTCCTGCCGTGGCCACCTCCAGAGTGCTGAGATTGCAGGCATGAGCCACTACCCCTGAGTTATGTGGCACAGGATGAACCCAGGGCTTTGTGCGTGCTTGACAAGCACTCTGCTCACTGAGCTACAGCCTCAGTCTTTGTTGCAATTACTTCATTACAATCGCTATTAATCTATTACCAAGGAAAACACCGTAACAGCCAAGAACAGACAGGAAAAGTGAAGTACCTGTATGTAACAGACGTGGCTGAGTACACCAGGCACTTGCAGCTCTGTCAGCATGCAGTATGACCACCAAGCCCCAGGGCTTATGATTTCCAAATTTCTGAAATCTGGAGATGCACAGACCCCCAAGAGGAGCTTCTACTTCAAAATACTCAGGAGATACAGAGTATGACCCCAGAGGGGACAGAGAGAGGACAGGCAGGGGGGGCAGGGGATACATTCTAAATCGTGTCTATGTATTTATTTATTTTGAGGCAAAGTCTTGATATGAAGCCCAAGTTGGACCTGAATCCCAATCCTCCTGCCTCAGCCTTCTGGGTACTGGGATGACAGGCACACACTGGCAATATCACAGATTTTGAAGATTTATTTTTATACCTATGAGTGTTTTGCCTGTCTATGTGTCTGTGCAGTGCCCATGGAGGCCAGAAGAGGGCATTAGATCTCCTGTAACTGGAGTTACAGACTGTTGTGAGCCTCCATGTGTGAGGTGGAGATCAAACCCCGTCCTCTGCAGTGCTCTTAAGCCCTAAGACATCTCTCCAGGACCAGTATCACAGATTTTAAAGTCTATTTTAAAATGTAACTGGAAGTCCAGGTGCTGTACATGCCTATAATTATAGAATTAGGGAGATAGAGACAGGAGAATCAGGAGTTCAGACCAGCTTCAAGTCTGGCAGTGGTGGTGCACGCCTTTGATCCTACCACTTGGGAGGCAGAGGTAGGCAGATCTGTGTTTGAGGCCAGCCTAGTCCACAGAGTGAGTTCCAGGACAGCCAGGGCTACACAGAGAAACCCTGTCTCTGTGTAAAAACAAAAACAAAACACAAAAACAAACAAAAAGGCCAGCTTCAATTATCTGAGACCCTGTTCCAAAAAAAAAAATAAATCACAAAAATAAAGGCACTATGTTTGCAATTTATCTCTTTGAAAACAATCCAAGGGAAAAAAAATCGTGTGGGGTGGGGGTGGGGGTGGGGATAAGGAAGAGACAGAGAAGAGCAGGAGGAAGGATGGTGAAGCAGGCACTGTAAGGTCATACTGGATCAGTGATGACGACTCTGGACTCTCCTGACCCCTGAACTTTTTCTAAGTATTGGGAGATGTCAAAATAGACACTTTTAAACTAAAGACACAAAAGACTCCCGTACCCACCCCATGAGGCCTCAGCAAGGTGGGAACAGGACACAGAGAACTTACCACAGCAAACTCATCTCGGTCCAGATGTCCATCCTTGTCGATGTCACTGAGGTCCCAGACCTGCAGGGGCCAGACAGATCCGTAAACCCAGCACAAGTAACATCTGAGTTGATAGTAAATAAGGCCAGGCAATCAGAGGCACTTAAAGAGCTGTATATCTGTCTTCCCACACACCTACACACATATGTACATATGTGTACACACACACACACACACACACACACACACACACGAGAAGAAAAGGAAAAGCAGAGCCGGGCGGTGGTGGCGCACGCCTTTAATCCCAGCACTCGGGAGGCAGAGCCAGGCGGATCTCTGTGAGTTCAAGGCCAGCCTGGACTACCAAGTGAGTTCCAGGAAAGGCGCAAAGCTACACAGAGAAACCCTGTCTCGAAAAACCAACAAAAAAAACAAAAAAAAACAAAAAAAAACAAAAAAAAAAAGAAAAGGAAAAGCATTTAAGAACTAGTTTGTGGCCGGGCAGTGGTGGCGCACGCTTTTAATCCCAGCACTCGGGAGGCAGAGCCAGGCGGATCTCTGTGAGTTAGAGGCCAGCCTGGTCTCCAAAGTGAGTTCCAGGAAAGGCGCAAAGCTACACAGAGAAACCCTGTCTCGAAAAACCAAAAAAAAAAAAAAAAAAGAACTAGTTTGTGGGGCTGGAGAGATGGCTCAGAGGTTAAGAGCACCGGCTATTCTTCCAGAGGTCCTGAGTTCAATTCCCAGCAACCACTTAGTGGCTCACAGCCATCTGTAATGAGATCTGGCTCCCTCTTCTGGCCTGAAGGGATATATGCAAGCAGAACACTGTATACATAATAAATCAATAAGTTTAAAAAAAAGAAAGAAAAGAAAAAGAACTAGTTTATGACAAGAGGCTGAGGCAGGAGGATTGGAATCTCAGGGCCTGTCTCGAGTACATAGAGAGTTCCAAGCTCAGAGCCTATCTCTGAGGGTCTGACCAGAGATGCCCCTCAGTTGGTGAATTGTTAAGGATTAGGAGATGTGGTCTTGTTGGAAGAGTTGTCAAAAGCCCACACCAGGTCAGATCCAATCTTTAGTTGCAGCTCCACTTGTGGATCAGATGGAGCTCTCAGCTACTTCTCCAGCATCATGTCTGCCTGCCTGCCGCCATGCTTCCTGTCATGACGACCATGGTCTAACCCTCTAAAACTGTAAGCCAGCCCCAATTAAACTACTTCTTTTATAAAAACTGCTGTGGTCATAGCATCTCTTCATAGCAACAGAACACTAAGACCCTACAGAAATCAAAACAAACAATAATCCTGACACCCTGCAGCTCTCTGAGGGAGCTGAGGGCCAATACTGAGACCCACATCCTTCCTACAGTAGCATGCTCACTGTGCTGACGAAGGCCAGGATGAAAACCACATCCCAGGAAACGCTTTCAACTGAAATCTGAATCAAACTGGGGTCACTGCAGTGCTCGTAAGCCATAAGACATCTCTCCAGCCCCAGTATCAGAGATTTTTAAAGTCTATTTTAAAATGTAACTGGAAATGTTGCACGTGCCTATAATTCTAGAAGCTGGGAGATAGAAAGAAGCACATCTAATGGGCATTAGGAAATGGTCTCTGAGAACCTCTAAGGACAATGTTTGTTGTTTTTAGGTTCTGTTGAAGGCCAGGGCCTTGGGCTCTGGTTGAACAACCACAGTCCCTCTGTAGCAAGGCCCCACAGAGACAATAAGCTTGCCTGGCCCACATACACCAGGAAGCAGGCTGCCAGGATGAAGACTTAAGCCACATCCATCTAGAGGAATTATGCCTGCAGTGGGAGATCTGGAGCCAAACACTTCGTATTAATATGAATACATCTGAGGTTCATTTTTGTTGAGGGGCTCCTGATACAGGGTCCTGCCACACAGACTGGGATGGCCTCAAACTCATGATCCTCCTACCTCAGCCTCTTGGAATTATAGGTGCGCATGGCCACAGCCACCGAAATTGAGACTTTTAAACAAACAAATAGGAATGCACTATGGAGGTAGATTCGGAGTTTAAGTTTACCCCCCAGCCGATATGGGAGATAGGAGACCCCATGATAAAATCAAAAAAGGAATAACTAAAACTATTTCTAAACCTATAACAGAGCTGAAAGTGCCTTCACCTTGAGACTGATAGGCAGGAAAAAGCATTAACTTAAAAACAGAAGCCAAAGGCCACTGTGATGGCTCAGCAGGTAAAGGTGCCTGCCGCAAAGCCTGAAAGCTCAGGTCAATTTCCCAGGTAGAAGGAGAGAACCCGATCGTGCAAGTTGCCCTCCGACCTTCATAGATACACAGTGGTATGCACACATACTATGTACATGCACACACTAAAAGTTTTAAATGTAGGTAGCATAGTGGCACACACCTTTATCCCAGCATTTGGGAGGCAGAGGCAGGAAGATTTCTATGAATTCAAGGTCAATATTGTCTACATAATGAGTTCCAAGCCAACCACAGCAACACAATGAAACCTTATCTCAAAAAAAAAAAAATTTTTTTTTTAAATGTAACTTGTTCTTTAAAGCTGGGTGTGGCAGCATGTACTTATAATCCCAGTACTGAGGTGGCAGAGACAGGGTAATGCCTGGACTCTTAGCCAGCCAGCTCATCAGCTTAGTACATTCTAGGACCAGTGAGAGACACTATCTAAAAAAGCAGAAGACAGCAGTTAAAGAGTGCACCCAAGGCTGTCCTCTTAACTCCACATATACATGCACTCCTGTGCAGACGCCTTTTTAAAAAAAAAAAAAAAGAAATGGGAAGAAACAAACAAGAGAAAAGGGGATTTGGTGCTGGGCTTGGAGCAGGCTCTGCTGTCACATGTACAAGTAGCCATCACCTGTCTGCCCCTGCCTCTTGTCGTAAGTAGATGGATGCTAGCATCTTCCCAGGAGCAGAAGAGCAGTCCTGCTCCTCCAACTACGGAAAAGGCAGACACACACAAGGGGGGGGGGGGGGGGGGGGGGTACGGTGTTCAGCGGGAGAAGAAAGGTATCCGTTAACAGACAGACATGCTGTGGTACAGGGTGGATGGAAAAGCACGCAGCAGCTTACCCTGCCCAGCACATCCAGAGGTAGTTTCGAGTTCATGAGGACTGGCTTGACCTTGTCTCCAGAGAGCAGACCATTGACTGGCAGAAGGCTTTCAAAGATGCCATCAAACTTTGCCTTCTCCTCCACCTACCAGGAAAAAAGGAGCTGGGATGAACAGAGCACGCAGTTCAAATCCAAACCCAGACTTGTCTACACAGAGCTCAGCTGTACCAGAGGGTGCGAGATATCCTAGAGCAAGCCCAACTGCCTGAGTTTCCAGGGAGAATTTATGGCCTAGGGGGACAGCTCCCTGGCACCATGGCCTAGGGGCCACAGTGAGCAGAAGAGAAGCTGGTCCACATCTTGTTCTGCCGAATGGCAAAAGGAGCCTAACCAGCATGGCAACGCCTTTGCAGTGTCTCAAGGAACCTCATTAGATGTTTAGTTTGGGAGCAAACATGGTCAAATCAACCTCCAGTGGGGCCAATGGCACACACCTCTCATTCCAGCACTCAAGATGGAGCTAGGATAGAGGGCTTGAGGCCAGCCTGTGCTACATGGGAAGACCCTGTCTCAAATGTCAACTTCAAGAGCACAAGTCTTACTTCTCACAATCCAAAATAAGCTGTGATGGGGCTCAGTACAGTGAATCCTTGGGTTCTAATTACATCACTAAGAAAAAAGGGTTTTGAAAAGGTGCTGTGGTTCAGTGGGTAGAGTGCCCATATAGCAAACACAAAAGAGTCCCTGGGCTCTATCCCCAGCACTGTATAAACCACAGGCCCCACCTGCAATCCCAGCTCTGAGAAGGTGGAGGTCAGGGTTCAAGGTCATTCTTGGCTATATTGAGGTTTGAAGTCAGACTGGGCTATGGAGACCCTGTGTTAGAGAAACAAACTAAACAGGGCTAAGGACAGTTTGGTGGCAAAGCCCTTGCCTGAGAAGCTCAAGGTCTGTCCAAGTTCAAAAGAGACAGAGAGCAGGATCAAGAAGGAAGGAAGAAGTATAGGGAAGAGGGGCTGCTTCCCATTCTCTGAGAGCATCCACAGCCCACACTCAGCTGCAGAACCAACTCTGGCTTACCAGAAGGAGTCACTTAGGTTTTGCAAATACATATCTCAAATTTTAATGTATTTACTGTGTATACACTTGTGTGTGGCAGTCAGGAAATTTGAGAGAGTCAGCTCTCCTTCCATCACATGGGTTCCAGGACCGTCACACTTGACAAGTGCCTTTATTCACTGAGCCATCTCATCAGCCCCATCTTTTTCTTTTTTGAGACAGATTCTCCCTATGTGACCAACACCAGCCTTGAATATGTGATCTGTCCCCCAGCCTCAGGTTCCTGAGTGTTGGGATGACAAGCATGTGTCACTGTGATAAAACACTAAGATAGATGTTGGTAGCAGAGTGGGGTATTGATTTAACAGCCTGACCAAGCTTCTTGTTGATGGAATGTGGACTTTGGATCAGGAAAGCAGTGGAATGCTTTAAGGTGGGCTCAATGGGCCATACTAGTAGAACCACGGAAGACGTGGTACTGAGGGGGATTTGAACTGTAGGGGCGTGGCTCAAGAGGTTTCAGAAGAGAAGAATGTTAGTATATGGCCTAGAGACCATTCTTGTGGTATTTTTGGGGAGGAAAAAAAGTGGCTGCTTTTTGCTCTTGTCCAAAAAAATCTACCTTAAGCTAAATTTAAAAGTTTGGAATTAATGGTGTCAGCAGAGGAGATTTCAGGGCAGCCCAGTATTGACTCTGTCCTATGGTTATTAGTGGTCACTCTCTCTTTTTTCTTTTTGGTTTTTCAAAACAGGGTTTGTCTGGGTAGCCCTGGCTATCCTAGAATTCACTCTGTAGCTCAGGCTGGCCTTGAACTCACAGAACTCTACCTGCCTCTGCCTCCGGAATGCTGGAATTAAAGGTGTGCTCCACCACCGCCCAGCTCAGCTTTCTGACTTTTTACTTGCCCTGGGACAGTCATAGGACCCGTTCTCTTCTCTCAGCAAGGCAAATATAAATGGTTCAAATTCCTGGGAAATTTTCATATAATATTATAGGACCAGCCTTAATATTACAGGGGCCCAGAAGAGACACTACCAGTGGTGCAGGAATGAATCTAGATGCACGGAGCTCTTTTGTCCCACTCGTTTATTCACCCGCCACCACCATTCTGCCATCATAACTCCTCCCGCTTCTATCGGGACTGGTCTATATCTTTCCCAAGACAGCAACACCTTCCTGTGTACAATACAACAGAAGAATTGCAAGGTCCCCACCAGAAGCTTCCTGGCAACTTCATTTGCAACCCCAAAAGGGGGAGAGAATAAAGGCGGAGTTAGATAGGAGCTGGAACAAATCAGAGAAGGAATTTATGTGCTAGGAATCTACCCTTACTGTGGCTAGGTGAAAACATTACGGGTCTATCATAATGTGCTCCAACTACAAACTCACAGGTGATAGGGTAAAGAAATCTACAAGTCACTAAAATAAAACTGCCTCAGTTTTTCTCTGCACCAGTTTCCTGACAGGGCGGGGGAGGAGCACTGACAGCTAGTCAATCTGCATCTCAGCTTGAAGCACCTGGTGAGAGGGAACCCTCTGATCTAAGAAGGTGCTCTGGGGCCGTGGAAGATCTGAACGTGATTTGCACAAGAAACAAAGCTATGCATCTAGTAGGCTGTTAGTCTCCTAGGCTCAGCAGGGGAGTTAGTACCTAGTCGAAAAGCTTAGCTGTTTGCCAAGATGGTTGGGAAGTATTTGGGCACACAAGAATTTCATAGCAGAAGATAGCTGAAATATTAAAAACTGGATAACACCAAATATTCATAATAAATGGTTTGCCTTTTGACAGACCCTTGGCCGGTCAAAGTATAGCTTTAATACACAGCTGAATCTCTATATTCTTGGGGCCCACAAGAGGAAATGAACTGTTGCTTCATGAAAGAACAAGACATGCCCAGGATAGGGGCAAGAAGTGGATCTATGTTCTTGCCTCTGCCTCCCAAGTGCTAGGATTAAAGGTGTGGGCCACCACAGCCTGGCTATTAGCAGTCACTCTTCCGTAGAGCTGAGCAAGGACAATCACAAAAGGTCCAGTGTGAGGAGAAGAGCATCAGAGTGTGATGGAGCAGTCCAGTGCTCGGGAGATCCTAAATGAAATAAAGTGGGGGCTTCAAGGTGAGACCCCAAGTAGCTAAACTTCCAACTTGTGAAGAGGAATTAAGAAAATTTTAGGGCCAGGCACAGTGGTGTACATCTTTAATCCTAGCACTGAGAGGCAGAGGTAGGTGGATCTCTGAGTTCGAAGCCAATTTGGTCATCAGAGCAAGTTTCAGGACAGCAAAGTTTAGGCATTGAAGGAAACCCTTGAAAACAGAAAACTGGCAAAATTTTGAACAAGGGAGGGGGGTGGGGGGGATGTTCCAGGCTCAGCAAGCAGCAGAACTTGGCAGCTTCAGCCACATGGTTCTGGTGTTAGAGACAAGGATAGAAGAAAGAAGTTATGGAATCTCCCTCCACGACTAACAAAAGCCACTGAGGCCAGGCATGTATCATAGGTGTCCCTGCATGGACGCTCAAAGAGGCCATTGTGTGAAGCTGTGAAGGTGAAGTCTGAGTTGCCTTGGAGAACCCAAGATGTTAGAGATGCCAGAGTTAAGGGATACCTGCTGAGGAGAGCTGCTAACAGGGAGTGGAAGCAGCCCAAGAGAGAGAAGTGTCAACAAAGCTGAATGGAGGTGGAGATCTGAAGAGCACTTTGACATCAGACATGGAGGTACAGAGTTTGCTCAACTGGTTTGGGGCTTGCTTTTGTCCAGCATTTCCTCACTATGCTCCCTTCCCTGTGCTTCTGAATAGCAATGTATATCCTGTGCCACTGTATGTTGGAAGTCTGTAATCTGCTTTTCATTTTTATTTTACAGAGGGTTACAGCTAAGAGACTGCCACGAAGCCGTGTGTGGTGGCAACAACCTTTCATCCCAGCACTCAGGAGGCAGCAGAAGCAGGCAGATCTCTGAGTTCGAAGCCAGCCTGGACTACAGAGTGAGTTTCAGGACAGCCAAGACTACACAGAGAAAAGCCTGTCTCAAAAACGAGAGATTGCCATGAGTCTCAGAAGAGACTTTGTACTTTCAAACGGTATGGAGACTGTGATAGACTGGGGACTTTTGAAGTTGGACTGAAGGCGTATGGCTAAAAGACTATGGGGGCCAGGGAGTAGAATGTGGTGGTTTGAATGAGAATGGCCCCCAAAGGCTCATAGATTTAAAGGCTTGGTCACCAACAAGTGGCACTATTAGGAATTGTGGCCTTGTTGGGGTAGGTGTGGCCTTGTTGGAAGAAGTGTGTCACTGTGGATGGGCTTTGAGGTTTCAAAAGCCCAAGCCAGGCGCAGTGGCACGCGCCACGCCCCCCTCGCTGCCTGTGGATACAGATATAGAATTCTCAGTTCCTCTCCAGCACCATGTCTGCCTGCACGTCACCATGTTTCCTGCCATGCTAATAAACAGACTAAACCTCTGAAACTGTAAGCAAGCCCCAATTAAATGCTTTCCTTTGTAAGAGCCAGTGTGGTCATGGTGTCTCTTCACAGCAATAGGACACGGACTAAGACAGCCACCATGCTTGTTTTTCCTTTCTAGAGGCAGGACCACATTGCCCTCTGCATGGAAAAGGAACACCTAAAGTGCTGGGTGAGGCTTTTTACAGAGCAGTAGGCACCTCACACAGGGAAGAATGGCCTCAGGGAGCTGCTGGAAGGCTGCATAGGCAGTGTGTCTCTTCTCTATCCTGAAGAACCAACACAAGCAACACAGCCCCAGATGCGTCCTGAGAACACAGGAATTAAAGGCAACCTCAGGTCCTTAGTTCCTTGCTCCTAGACACAGCCGCTAGCTATGGTGAGAGAATTTGACAATCGATTTTTCAAGCCTAGTGCTGTGGCTTGCCTGTCATCCCCATGCTGGAGAGGTAGAGGCAGAGGATTAGGAATTGGAAGCTGCTTCAGCTACAAGTTAGCTTGACGTCAGCCTAGGTGACATAAGACCCTTTCTCAATAAGCAAAAAACAAAACAAGGGTTGGAGAAATGACTCAGAGGTTAACGCAGCCAAGTGCAGTTCCCAATGCCTAAATTAGGAGGTCACTCCAGCTCCCGGGGATCCCACCCCCATCTTTGGCCTCCAAGGGAAAACATACCCACCCATAGACATACAAATAATTAAAAATAAAATAAAATCTTAAAAACAATATTAAAATAGATATGACCCTTGGATTCTGTGGAGACAAACAGATGGCAAAGGTGCTCCAGAATGTTCCAAATGATATACATGGCTAGCGCATCAACTATGGCACTGTCCCCTCACTTACCCGCACAGCCCAGTGAGTCTCTGTAGACGGCTGTGTGGCCATCAGTGGGCTGCTGGTGTCATGCTGAGGAAAAAAGGGACGAGATCACATATGCAAACACAACCAAAATAATCTCATTCCAAAGTGGGATGGTCACGGAATGGGGAATGAGCTAGGACCCCACAGCTCCCTCCCAGGTGTAGGCCCACAGGTGCACACACAAATCCATGACCCTTCACAGCTGCGCTGCTCCCAACAGCCAAAGGTGCAGGAGACACCACAGAGCTCAGCAGACAGACAGGTACGCAGTGCCCAGCCACAGTCACAACAGTAAAGTATCCTCATCTAGGTAGACTGAGTGCAAGGTGCACACACAAGTGTGACTCCACTGAGAGCAACATCAGAAAGACAACTCTGCACAGAAAAAAAGATGGGCGGCTACCAAGGACTGGGAGATGGAGAATCAAAGAGTAAGACGGGCCCAGGATCTTCCTTTACGGGGTGAGAACTAGAACTCAGGCTGATGTGTAAGTGCTACCCAAATGAGCATTTTATTTACTTTGTTTTCAAGACAGGGTTTCTCTGTGTAGCCCTGGCTGTCTGGAACTAGCTCTGTAGACCAGGCTGGCCTCGAACTCAGAGATTCGCCTGTCTCTGCCTCCCGAGTACTGGGATTAAAGGTGTGAGCCACTATGCCTAGCTGAACTGTGCACTTAAAAAAATGGTAAATTTTATGGTATATGTATTTCACCTTAACTAAAACACGGAAAAACAAGAGAAAACATGGAGATGTCACTCACACATATATTCGCACACACACAGTACCAAGAGAGTATGATGGCTTGCACACTCACAAACTTCGGTGGTGGCATGGTGAGGCTCAGATTGCTCAAGGTGACTTCATGGCCACTCTGTGCACAGGCCACCAATCTCAAGGCAACATAGAAACCCTGTGGGCCCAGAAAGAGGAGGCGTTAACCCTATAAGGCGGACAGGACAGCTCTCATCTCCACTGTGATGACCACAGACAACACAGTGGGCAGCAGTAGTGAGTACTGAGCATTAAAAAGATTCAAGTAGGGCTGGAGAGATGGCTCAGCGGTTAAGAGCACTGGCTGCTCTTCCAGAGGACCGGGGTTCATTCCCAGCACCTAAATGGCAGCTTACAACTGTCTATAACTCCAGTCCCAGGGGATCTGACACCCTCACACCAACGCATATAAAATAAAGTTAAATAAATTATTTAAAAAAAAAAAAGATTCAAGTAAAGGGATTTCCCAAAGGCAACGAGATGCTGGAGCAGTCCATACACTTACAGTGACTGATGGGTCAAAAATACACACAGCCTATGTTGTTTTCTGTTTTTGTGGGGTAGGGGTGGGGCCTGAAGCTTCAGGAACACCAGGCAAGCACTTATCTCCCAAGCTGTACTTCAGCCCAGGTAGTGGATTTAAAAAAAATTTTTTTAAAAGAAACTATTAGTATTTATTTGGGAGGAGGGGTCATGTGCACCCAGAGGGGAATTCAGCTCTCTCCTCCCACCATATGGTTCTAGGGACTGAACTCAGGTCATCAGGCTTGTCAGCAAGGACCTTCTTTCACCAGAGGGGCTGTCTCACTGACCTCCTTTTTTCTTTTTTAATACTCAGTTTTGATACTTGTTTTTTTTTGGTTTTTTGAAACAGAGTTTCTCTGTGTAGCACTGGCTGTCCTGGAACTTGCTCTGTAGACCAGGCTGCCCTCAAACTCAAAGACCTGCCTGCCTCTGCCTCCCGAGTGCTGGGACTAAAGGTGTGCACCACCACAGCCCAGATAGTTTTGCTATTAATTATGAGTGTGTGCACACAAGTGTGGGTACCCACAGAGGCCAGAGGCATCAGATTCCTGGAACTGGAGGTACAGGTGGTTGTAAGCAGTCTTGTGGGTACTGGGAACTGAACTCAGTTCCCTGCAAGAACAGTAAGCACTCTTAACCATTGAGCCTTTTCTCCGGCCTCCTTTTTTGAAACAGGTTCTTACTATGCAGCTGAGTCTGAAGGGGGACTTTCAATCCTCCTGCCTCAGCCTCCTGAGTGCCAGCATGACCTGTGTTCTGTGATGAGCCATCAACTTGACACAACTAAAATCGGATGAGAAAGAACCTTGATCAAGGAACTGCCTCCATCAGATGGGCCTGTGGATGTGTCTACAGAGCATTTTCTTAATTAATGATTCACAAAGACAGTGCCATTCCTGGGCTGGTAGTCCTAAATTCTATATATGGAGCAAGCCAGGGAAGCAAGCCAGCAAGCACTGATCCTCGATGGCCTCTGCTTCAGTTCCTGCCTCCAGGTTCCTGCCTGGAGTTCCTAGTTTCCCTCAGTGATGGACTGTAATCTGTAAATCAAGTAACCCTTCCTCTCCAGGTGCTTTTGGTCAGTTTTATCAGACAGAAGCAGGGGCAAATATGTACCCTACAGCGGAGCTTCTCTACTGGCATAAGAACATGGGGAGAGCTACGCCTTTCATGGGGATGTCCACAGAAACTGTGCAGAAACACATGGTGTCAGAGGGAAGCTGGAAACGGGGCAGGATGGTGGCCAGACAAACCAAATCAGGTCCCTCAGCTCCTTCACTAAGCGGCTGAGCAACCCCAACCACAAGGAAGGGAGGTACCGGTGGCTGGAGGTCGGTGGCCAGCAGATGGACAGGCTTGAGGCCTTAGGATACAGAACAGCCTCAGACAGTGCCTGGGGGAGGAGCTGGGGAACTCACCTGCACCCAGGCCCTGTGAGCACAGCACGGTAAAGCCTGCTGTAAAGCTCCCACAGCCAACACTGCGGGACAAACACAATTCCATTCATAATATTTCTGAAGAGCATAGAGCCCAGGGCTCCAAGGGGAAGCCTAAGAGTATCAGGGCTGACTGGCACACATGCCTCCATGGTAGAGGGCACCAGGAAATGGCCAGCCTGACTGCAGGTCCTGGTTAATGCTGTGACCACAGCAATCTGACACAAGCATTGGAATTGTGTGACTGAGCATCCCTGGGGAGAGCTGGCTATAAACATGGGCTAGAAGGGGTGTATGGGAACCCATTAAACTGTGTTTGATATCTTTACAGAATTCTAAAATTACTTTGATACAGATTAGTCTTTAGGCTGTAAGACATGGCTCTGTGGTTAAGAGCACATGCTGCTCATGCAGAGAACCAGAGTTCAGTTCCCAGCACCCCATCAGGTAGCTCCCTCACCCCACCTCCAGGGAATCCGGCACCTTTTTCTGACCTCCATGGGCCACATATACATAAACAAATTTTTTTCTGGTCCCCCTACCCCTGTGGGGTTTTTTTGTTTTGAGACCAAGTCTCACTGTGTAGCCCTGGGTAGCCTGGCTCTCCATATGTAGACTAGGCTGGCCACAAACTCACAGAGATCTATCCATCTGCCTCTGCTGCCTGAGTATTGGGATTAAAGGTGTGGGCCACCATACACAGTACAATTTATTTAAATTATTTTAAATCTTTAAAACGCTTCAATCACTGGTAAGTTCATTGTGATGTTTGGGGTTTTGTTTTGTTTTGTTTTGTCTAAAGGTGGGTATGTAGGTGTGTGTATGTATACATGTAGGTATGAGTGGGTGCTCTGAGAGGCCAGAAGAGGGCATTGGATCCCTTGGAGCTGGAGTTATAGGTGGTTGTAAGCTGCCAAATGTGGGTGCTGGGACCTGAACTCAGTTCCAGCTGAGTCCTCTCTCAGTCCCCTTGGTATTCAGTTTTGATTGTCAACCTGACACAATGGGAACTACCCAAGAAGGAAGTCAGTGAGGAGCTGCTTCAATTAGGCTGGCTTGTGACGGGTTCCCAGGTTAAATGAGATGGGAAAGTGTACCCTCCATGCGGGCACACCACCCCTGGGCTAGACCCCGGGCTGAGTGAACAGGAGACAGCATTTGGTCCCTGTGCTCCTGACTACATGTGACCAGCTGCTTCAGGCTCCTGCTGCCTTAACTTGCCCCAAGTGGCTGTGCCTGGAACTGGGAGCCACGGGTGGCCCTTCATCAGAGCTGCTTCTGTCAGGGCAATTTATCACAGCAGCAGGTAAAGAAGCTGAGATAGTCTCGAGACCGTCAAGGGCATGTCACTGAGTCAGGGGTTGGCATACTTACAGATCTGCACTCCAAAGTGAGAGTTCCTCACTTGAGCCTGGCAGCTGTGTGTGGATGATATAGCAGCCAGTGGAAGAAAGGTACAAGTTACCCAGCCTCAGGGGTGCCCAGCCCTCCCCTGCTCTGTGTGTTCATATATACCTGTTTGTCCAAGAACCCTTTACCTTCGGGGTCCGCCAAGTCCCATATCTGTGGAGACAAAAAAGTGCCCGTAAGTGTGACTGTCGCTCACCAGCCAAGTTGGATGGAACAGGAGTCACAGTGCCATGGGCACTGGGGCCAATAGCCCTGCCAGGCACACAGCCATTTGGTGGTAGGGCCCAAAGAACCCCCTATGCCCACTTAGCTCCCTATTCAGTCATTACATGGCAATGTAAGCCCAGAGCTATCAAGACATCAAAAGCACTCTGGTCCAGTCTGCTGCTTACACCTTGAAGGTAACCACCATCTGAGACTGACCAGGCTGACTTCAAACTCCAGAGACCCATAGCCCTATGCCTCCAGAGTGCTGGGAGTAAAGGAACGCTCCACCATGCCTCACATTATAACTTTGGTTTGTCTTTTCAAAGACAGGTCATACTATGTAGCCCAGGCTATCCTGGAACTCATGATCCTTCCGGAGTTGTGATCTTAGTCTCTCAAGTGCTAGGATGGGCATGGAAAGTCAGCTCTAAAGGAAAAAGAAATCAGGCCTTCAGATCCACCAGCTACAGCAAAGAAACCCAGGATGTTCTGGCCCTGCCCAGGGAGGGTCTGCACAGTTGGCTTTCATTTCAGCAGACCACGCTTCATCTTCCCTACCTTCCCCAGGATGATGTCAGAGAGCCCCGACTTCTTCAGAAACAGCGCAGCCTCACTGGCCCCAACTCTTCCTGTGTAGGCAGGGTCCACCTGCAACAGGACAGCAAGAATTGACACAACACTTAAAGATACAGAAGTATCAGCGCCGTCCCCATGTATGTCCACAGGAGTTGACACCACCACTTACAGACGCCATGGCCATGTGTTCCCAAGGTTAACTACAAAGATGACGGGAGGCTGGGTGCAACTCAGTGGCTGATCTGCTCTGCATGTAAGAGGCTCTGGGTTCCACCCCCAGCACCAACACACACATGCACACATGAGTACATACAAAACACATAAAAAGGCACTAGTGGGGCTGGAGAGATGGCTCAGCGATTAAGAGCACTGGCTGCTCTTCCAGAGGTCCTGAGTTCAATTCCCAGCACCCACATGGTGGCTCACAACCATCTGTAATGAGATCTGGTGCCCTCTTCTGGCCTGTAGGTATTCAAGCAGGCAGAACACTGTATACATAATAAATAAATAAATCTTAAAAAAAAAAAAAAAAAAAAGGTGTGCACCACCACTGAAAAAAAAAAAAAAAAAAAAAAAAAAAGGCACTAGTGGGCTGGAGAGATGGTCAGTGGGCAAAGGCTCCTGCCATCAAGCCTGATGGCCTGAATTTGATCTCTGGGACCCACATGGTAAAAGGAGAGAACTGACCATGAGAGTTGTGCCCTGACTGCCACAGGCATACCATGGCACAGGTGAACACGCGCACACCTACACAGCACAATCAATTACAATGTGAAAAGATGCACTTAGACATACCTGCTTGTAGTAAGACTCATACAACGGATTTCCACTGGGAATCTGAACAAAACAGGAGAGTCAGAAAGTGGTCACAATACACAAAAGCACCCTCCCGCCTTGGTCTTCTTCCTCTTCAGGTGCTGTCCAGGCTGGTCTCCAGTTGTTTTGTTTCATTTTTGTTGGGACAAGGCACTAGTAGAGAGCCTTGGCTGGCCTTAAACTCCTGGTGATCCTCCTGACTCTGGCTCTTGAGTGCTGATATTACTGGCAGGAACTGCCGCACCTAGCCCCAAACTCCTCCTGAACTCTCCTAGGGTCAAGTGGTCTCCTGCCTTAGCCTCCTAAGTGGAGGTGACAATACTCAATGTTTCACCATCACCAAAATACACCCTGGTTCTGGTAAAAATGTATGCACCTGACAGCCAGAGCAAAGCCAAACCCCACACAGAAACTTGCCTAGGGAGAGGCAGTGATGGGCCTCCTTCCTCACCCTGTGTGTTGGTGGAGTTTCTGTATGTGACCCTGAGTCACCATAATGCACTTGGTTGTTTTCAAGTCCTCACCCATCTTGTCCTCTACCAGCTGCCTGACAAGTGACAGCACACAGATTCATGCTGCAGGCATCCTCCAGGATGCACACAGCCTCACGCTGAAAGCATCCACTCCCTCTGTGTGCGAAGCCAAGAGTCCTCCACTCAGCACCAAGAACACCCCTCATTCAGCCCAGGACTCTAAGGTCACCTGTCAGGCTCCAGCCACTACCTCCCTCCCTCACTGGCCTCAACAGGATGTCCCTCTATGGAGAGGAAGAAGTCATCTAGGGGAGCAAGCTACCTCAGTGGGGAAGTAAGCAGCCACTATGTAGCAGTGGGGTCTCCCAGCACTGGGAGGAGGGGTGGTCAAGACAGCATGGGCTATGTAGTGAGGCCCTGTCGCAAACAAAAGAACAAGTAAACAAACAAGTGACCGTATGAAAAGGGCTTCCCTATGTTGGTACTTTATGGAGGCTGAAGTTCAAATGCAGGCAGCATCAACCCCAGTGAGGACTGGGAAGTCAGGCAGGGGCTCCATACTCTGAAGCATCAAGCTGCTATCACCCTGTCCCGACAGGAGTGTGTGTCCTGCCCACTCCCTCTGCCTGGCCAGTTGTAGGTGTCCTGCTTGGCCTTCCCAACCATCAGAGCTTACAAGAGCTAAATCTGTTCTTGATCAGTGGCCCAGCCTTAGACACCCAGCACAAAACACACCTGGGCTGAGTGAAGAAAGTGAGATGAGACTAACTTAAAGAAGGGTGTTAACCACACAGCCGCAGGGAGACTGAGAGACTGAGCATTGCTGAGAGGTTTTCAAAACTTCCTTAAGTGTGGCGCACACTTTTAAATCCCAGAAATTCAAGAGGCAGAGGCAGGAGGATCTCTGAGTTTGAATTCTACATAATGAGTTCCAGGTCACTTAAGGTTACATATAGTGAGAACCCTGTCTTTAAAAACAAATAAATAAACAAACTTCCTTAGTCTGGCCTGCCTGTGATGCTGGTGGTTAAGAGTTTGAGTCAGGAGGGATGCTGTCCTGTGACTGCATAAGGATAAGCCAGGGAAAGGACTCCCAGGCTCTGAACCAGCACTACCCAGCACAAGATCCTTTCAGGTTCAAAACAATGCAAGTACAGTCAGCTTCTCTGGGGGAACCAGGCACCTGTAAGCAAAGCAAAATACCCAGACAGAGAGGCAGGAGGGAAAGTACAGAGGGCTGCAGGGGAGAGGAAGGGGAAGAGGCTGGATGGCAGGAAAAGACCTGAGGCTTGGAGCAAACGCTGAAGAAAGAGCATTAGGAAAATGCCACTATGTGGGGCTAGCAAGATGTCTCAGCAGGTAAAGGCGCTTGCTGTACAAGCCTGATGACCTGAGTTTGAGCTTTAGAACCCACAAAGTTGAAGGAGAGAATGGACTCCCTCAAGTTATCATTTGACCTCTTCACACATGCAGTACGCATGCACACACATACATAACTAAATACTTCAGCAAGCCTCTAGAAGAATCTCCCCAGAGCAGTAAGACTGACAGAAAGGAGATGGGCTGTTTGTCATGTGTGAGAAAAGGTGGTGATGGCATATCACCTGCCATAGCTCATCTAACCCCACAGGTCTCATTGGCAAAGTCCAGACTGTAAATATTTTCCTCAAGGTTTTGGAGGTAGAAGTTCAATTCTAACCAAGCACATCAAGCATCCACTCCCAAGGTGCTGTGGCTCAGTGACAGACAGCAGCAGGTTTGGTGCATGTTCAATTGTTATATCTGGCTGCTTCCCAAGGGCCTACAAGTGACAAGAGTTCAAGACCAACCAGCCTGAGCAACAAAGAGAGAGCCGGTCCTGGTCAAGACAAAACCCAAACCAAGCAAATCACCAAATCCACGCTCAAGAGAAACAGCCCAGCATCCAGGCTGCCATAGCCAGGCCCACTCAAGCTTGTTCCAGCCCTGGGGCTGGCTGTGCATCCTTAGAAGCCACAGTTCATAAGCCCAGGGGCAGGGCAGCAACAGCAAAGGTTTCATTAGTGCTCACACTTCAGTGCTGTGGACAGAGACAAGGAAGCAGGGCAGATGTTAGATATGAGTTACAATTCCTCTTATGCCATGGCTTCCTGGGGACACTGAAGCCACACCTGCAGGCTGTGTTAGTGTTCACTGTGACACCATCCAAGCCTCAGCCATGGCCAATCTATGAAACAGGCATGAGCAGAGACCTCAGTCACCGCCAGCTCGTGATAAAGGCAGTGGTCCCCAGGGCAAGCTCCCAAGCTGGGACAGAGCCCTCTGTGGGCCCACAGCTGCCACGTAAGCTATGCTCGCAAGTCTCACCACAAAGGGAGAGGCACAGACTGAGAGGGACCAGCCAGAGGACAGGGCTTTGAAGGCAAGAGGCTGCAGGGGTAGGGAGCTGGCTACAGCCCACTACACAGCCAGGACACCACACATGTCCCTTTACTTCTCCTCCAGCTGGCTGAGGTGGCAGGGAGAGGCCTTGGAGCAGTTTTGCACACTGCTGCTGAAGCAGCTTTGCAACGCCACAGTCCATTTGCATTAGAGAATATGGGAACATGGCAGCACCCTGTGGAGGGGATGCCCTAGAGATAGCGTCACAGCAACCCTAATCCTGGCAGGATCTGGCCAAGAGCAGGGTTCCTTACAGGCCTGAGCACCTGGTTATCTCCTGCTACACCCACACTCACTATGTGCTCAGCTGAAACTGGACTTCAGAACGCGCCTGAGCAAGTGGCAGGGATGGGGAGACACAAACTAATAATTTAAAACTTGTAGAAAAGTATGTATAATCCACTCTCCTAATAAATAGATCATAGTGGAGCATGGCAGCACACGCCTGCCATCCCAACTCTCCCCCAAGTGGCGGCAGGAGGATCAGGAAGGAGTTCAGGGCAATCTCAGGTACATGTGGAGTTCGAGGGAACCCTGGGATACCTGAGACCATCTTACCCCTCCTGACCAAGGACCATGCTCCTCACTGTTCACTCAATGTTTCACATCCAGCACTTTCATCTCGTTTCATTTTGTTTTCAGGTGGAGTCTTGGTACATATCCCTGGCATATGTGGCACTCACGATTTATCTCAGGCTGACCTCAAACTCTCAGCAAACTCCTGCCTCTGCTTCCTAAGGCTGGGATTACTGGTAGTATGCACATGCCACCATGCCTGGCCTTGAGCTCCTCATTCATTCTTCCTATAGGGCAATGCTATAGGGCAGACAATATGCTAGCTCTTCTTTACTGGTGGGACAATGTAGTTTCCCCCATGCAGGCAATGAGTGCTGAGGTTCCAGGAGCTCCAGGCTAGGAGGCTTTCATTTGACCCTAACTTGCTGCAAAGACAGCCCAGGTGTGGCAGTGCTGACGTGGAACAGTTACATGGGCATGTGACGTGGGAAAATGCACTCTCGGGGCTCCACAATGGTGCGCTTTATGAAACCAAAGCAGCCATGGCCAGACAGTGAACAAAAAAGCCCTATGAAAACAGGTACTGCCTGCTGTTTGCCCAATCCTGGCTGCCCTGGGCACAGGAGGAAGGGGCAGTCCCATAGAGTGCCAGTCCTGCCATCCCAGCCCTATTCCCAGGGCACGCTGGCCTGCACTCTGGGGGAGGACACCACATCTGTCATGGGGCAAGAATGAGACTCCACTACGTGGGCATGTTTGACCCCCAGAGCAACACTCTCTCTAGTCTAGGTCAGAGCTGAGGAGGAGCCTGGGAATGAGGAGCTTCGAAGCAGGGACAAGTGGAAAAGAAAGAGAAGCTGATCACAGCAGTATGACCTGCAGCTGTACTGGAGGAGCATTCCAGCCGGGACTACAGAAGAAGACCCTGTCTCAGAAGCACAAAATCAGTAATGGGGCAAAGGCCGTAGGTAGTCGGCTGGTAGAGTGCTTGCCTGGCACACACGAAGCCTGGTTCCGACTCTACAAGCACACAGATCATCCCAGCACTCAGGAGGGGTAGACAGAAGGATGGACAGGGAGGTCAAGATCATCCCCGGTACACAATAAGTCTGAGGCCAACCTCAGCTACATGAAACTCTGTCTTAAAAAAAAAAATGTGGTTTTTGTTTTCATTTAAAAATTGGGCTGGCAAATGGCCCAATGGGCAAAAGTACTTTCCTTCAAGCCTGGTGTCTTATCTACTGCTGTCAAAGAGACACCATGACCGTGGCAACTCTTATAAAAGAAAGCATTTTAACTGGGGCTTGCTTACAGTTTCAGAGGCTCAGTCCATTATCATGTCAGGGAGCATGGCAACATGCAGCAGGCAGGTGCTGTAGCCATAACTGAAAGCTACATCCTGATCTATAGGCGGAGAGAGATAGAGACTCTGGCTTGGCATGGGCTTTTGAAACCTCAAAACCCACCCCTAGTGACACACTTCCTCCAACAAGGTCACACCTCTTAATCTTTACAATCCTTTCCAATAGTGCCACTCCCTGGTGACTAAGCATTCAAATAGATGAGCCTATGAGGCCATTTGTATTCAAACCACCACCACACCTACTGACC